ACCGTTGAAGTAAAATTATACACGACCAGCTAGTTACATCCAGTACAACCTATAGTCCAATCTTTATTTGTGAAGGTCAAAGTCCGCAATAGATTCCTGAGACGTACTAACCGAATAATAGACACATTTTGCTTTTGTTAGCCCGGGCTCCACGTCGACAACAATAACGCGAGTCATAGAGAAAGAGAAAACAAAGGGGAGAGAAGCAAGCGAGCGTAGACATGGTAGACGAACAGTCGCCGACTGCCGGACCAAACGCTACTCACGCTCCGGTACCACGCCACGAAGTACAATCGGCGCAAGCTGCTCTTCGTCACGTAGGTCGTAAGGAACGACCTGTGCGGCCCCGCGTCCAACTGGGATTAACCGCAACAGATCGTACTGCCCTCTCTCCTCTTCATTATTACAGCTAAAACTAAATGTCCGCGCGAGACACAGCCGGCCCCCAGGCCCTCGATAGTGGGGCGCGGGCGGGCCGGGGGGAGGCGCATAAAAAGGCGGAGGAGGTGTAGCGAGGCCGCGGGAGCGACCGGTGCGCTGAGAAAGAGGAGAGGCTGTGTATTACCGACTCCTGTAAATCGTGGGGTCTAGGGACCGTCGGGCGCGCCGTGGAGGCGGGTAGAGGCAGATAGAGTAGAGGGCAGAGAGGGTGGAGACCGACATACCGTCGCGCCCGCTCCAGCCCGCACGCGCCTCGCCCACATCCCCTCACGCTTCGCCTACCCGAAACAACTAGTCGCCAGCGACTAGGTTTCGTAGCTCCCCACTCCTCCGCGATACCCTCCCTCGCCCCCCCCCTCCCCCACCCCGCCCCCACCCCCCCCCCCAACTGTTTGTCTTCACGACCCCCTTCCTTTGACCTTCTGACCGGCTCACCGACGGATAATCCCCGGCCCCGGATTATGCCCGCGAGGCGCTGGGGGGTGGTGGGACGTGTGTCGGCTCATGGCTGTGCGGGCTGTAAGCAGAACGCCGCTTGTGTGAGGATGTGGACGAATTCTAGTGCTACTACCTTCCCGCGGCGCACTAACCTGTAATCCACGGGCTTCCCTACACAAAAACACACCATCACACAACACCCACCCGGGGGCCGGCACCCACACACCACACACAGCACACACATAATAACACAACAACAACACCCACACCACACCACCACACACACCCCCCCCACACAACCACACAACAACACATCACACCACAACCCAACACCACACCAACAACACACACAACACCACACAATACACCCACAACACTCTTTACCCCGCCCGACCACACCACCCTCGTTCGCACTGTCCCACAGTCAGGGGAAGAAAAGGCGAAGAGCAGAGTCAAAGTTAGCGGAGAGACCGTGGACGAAGAATAAGCCAAACAAACCCGAAACTGTAGTCGGTTGTACCACTACCGAGGCGTGGGCCCCCACCCGCGCGACCTGCTCTCCAGAATCCAACTAAATTGTTGGCTCGTCTGAGAGTCGTTTCGTCTCTTCAACACTCTGTTCTCCTCTTGTCTCGTTATCTCCACACCCAAAAACTGTTTTTGGCAGTTGATTTCTGGGGGCTGTATGCAACAGATAGTCAATGTATGTTTCTTTATTTCATACTGAATAATATGTAAAAAAGGAAAATATTAGGTCCAATAAAAAAAGCTTTGCTTCTGGAAGCAGGCCATTTCGTGACGTCACGTGTGGTTCCCGGCTGCCGCTGTCTGGATCCCTGCTGCCGTCCGGGATCGACAGCCAATGCGCGCAGCCAGCGAGAGTTCAACACGAAAAATGGCGTCAATATGTTGATGTTTACGCATCAGAAAAAGCTAATAGCGCGGGTATTTGGCACAATTTGACAGAACAATTATTTGGTGTGGACGATGCGAGCAGTGACGATGAATCTGAACGATCTCTGCCGCCTTTTACACCAGAAATAAGAGGCCTAGAACCGTATAGGTTCGAGCCAGCAAAACGCGAATGTGCACCACCGGCCTTCTCTTTCGGGAACAAATGAACGGTAAAACCATCCCGATTGGTGTTGCTACACCCGCCAACGACACACCTCTTCACCATGATCCGGAAAAAACAAGACAAACTCGGAGATAAACACTGATACACAAAGTTGACATGCGGCTATACCAGCAATGCTACACTGTGTGATGCTGGGACGGGCTGAACTCACCAGGATTCGCGGAACCACACGTGACGTCACGACACAGCACCAAGCAGCGGCAAGTTTGAATCCAGACTTTTCTGGATACCTCTGAATTTGACCCATTTTCCCGATATTAACAAGTGATTTACAGCAAATAGGAAACGATATTCGATCTATATCACGTGTTACTGGAATAAGACCCAACAAGTTAATGCATTTTGAAACAGTTCTATGATCTTTCAGCTAAAGTAAATTATGCAAGATAAGGACTTTAATGTTAAGCTAAGCTAACCAGCTGCTGGCTGTGGTTTTGTATAACCGCACAGAAATGAGAGTGGTATTCATTTTCTCATGTACCTCTCGCAATGAAAGCATATTTCCCAAAAATCTGTTTCTTTAACTTCAACAATGACACTGCGAGATAGAGACAAGCACCTCAAGCGAGCTCCTTAATCGAATCAAACGCACCTCAGTCTGCACAACATACCGACCTTTGCTCACCCCTCTGAAGAGGACACATGAAGTTTGTCTAATCAAATAAACAGGTGAGGCACTTATTAGCCTCCAATTCCCACTGCAAGTGTAACTTCATTTTCAATTTCTCCTCTCTGGCTGTGACTCATGGGAGAGCAACTTCAAAGCTGCAGCCATGCACTTGAGGTCATTATCTTCATTTCTATATCCTCTGCAGGTTCTCAGCATATGGGAACATTTTAACTTTGGACTTTTTTCTGTGTCTGCAGCCATAAATCTGCCATGTCAACTATAAAATATAACTGACCAGTACCAGATGTAGCTCTAATAGCTACCAAAAAAAGGAATGAAATCAAAATGTACCACCTCTAGATTTTGATTCTAAAGTTTAATAGCGTGTAAGATTGATTTCAGTTTTGTACACAAGAGATGGACAGTGAGCGAAAGTCGCCCAAGTTGAGGATAAGAAAAGGGAGTAGGTTGTTTCTTTTTTATTTCTCTGTTTTGCTCAATCTTTTCCTTTCTTTTTCCCCTTCTCTTTTCTTTAATCTCTCTCTTTCCACCCTTTAGCTGAGACGAATCCTCCTTTCATCCTCTTCTGCAGCGAGGGCCCTGGTGTCTGCTCACACAAAGCCTGACCATCCCTGACTCCTTGTCAACCCCTTGCCCAATTCATCAAGCAGAGGCCCATGGGCATTCATCACCCCCACCACCTTTCATATCCCACACCAGCTGAAAGCCACTGTCCCTCCTCTGACTTCAATGCAGCCATGACACACCCCTAAGATTTATAGTGGCATAATTAGTAGCAGTGAAAAAGGCCTGCGTGCTTTGGAGGGTCAATCATACTGTATCCCACTCAGAGGAGCTCCCAAAGAAAGTCACATCTGTTTCTAAATAGATTTCACAGCCACCACAAAAGTTGATGAATTAGCCAAATAACAAGAAGCCGGGAAATGTATCGAAGGCTAACAGTGACATCAAAACAATCAAACATACTTTGGGTAATTCTAACATGCTATTTGTCACCATTCATGGGAGCGGGACGCTGTCAGATCTCCCCTTTCTCTCCAGGGAAGCTGCTGCTGCTTGTGATGAGCAGCTCAACGGAGAGAACTCCCCCTGAAGACGGGGTTTTCCAAAAACAGCTTGAAGGAGGTCTAAAATAACATGCCTAATAGTTAAACGGTGTTATTGATGTAATCATGCCCTCCCCTCCCACCCGTCCTGCTGTCACTGATATCTCAAGAACAGTGAACTAATTAAAACACTCCTGGAGTTTGTTTTCATTTCAATCCTCACACAGAAAGAAAGTCTTCTCTAAACAGCTGCCTCTCTCTTTTTTTCCCTGCGAAGACACAAGTTTGGACCCGTTGCCCCACTGTGCAGAGAAGAGATGCAAAATCCCCATTCAATCATAAATCACACCTATTATCCATTATTCCTGTTGTGGCTTTCTCTGTGTTCCCTTTCATGTGCACGGTTGCACAGTTCACTTTACACCTGAACAAAATTAAATAACTTGTGGTCTAGCTCACATTTATTTAACAGTGTTGTTAAGTACAGCTTTTGCCATATGAAAAATATGAACATAACAGATCAATGTTTATGATAACACAATAAAGCTAAAGTGTAACTTGTTATTTGAGTATTCACATGTAAGGGTATTTTATTTATATTATAGCAACAGTAACTATACTTTTCAGATTATGTTTTTACATAATTTTTTATGACAAACTATTTTATATATTTATTTGGTAAATTGTTGATTTTTTCTTTTTCTTTTTATTCCTACTTTTACAAAGTATATGTGAATGTTCCACAAACCACAACTGTTAAATCAAGGAGGACATTTGTTGTAAGGTAGTTAAATGTATACCGGTATATGTTTACTTTCTGTGTGTGGTTCTTCCGCTATACTGTTTCATCTAGCAACATAATTAGTAAGCAGCAACACTTTTGTGGAGAAGCAGTACTTATTTGAAACTTTTTTTCTTCTTTAAATTACATCTTAAAGATGAATCCAGAAGTGCATACAGTCTCTGCTGCAGTCAGATTTGATACTACACGTCATCAGCTTTTGGATTTTCCTTTTTTTCCCTTGCTTGCCAGTAGTACAAGTGGTTTAGCTGCTGGTTTGCTGGAGCACATTGCAAACGTTGAGCAGAGGGGCGAGGAAGCACCTGCTTCCAACGAGGAGGTGGAGAAAATGCTCTCATGAAAACGTCCAGTGGTTGGCACTGACACTTCTGCAGGAGGTTAGATGGCTCTGAGATTAAACTCAGGTTATTTTGATAAATTTCTGGGCGCGAAGCCTTCGCCTGATACTTTGTGGTTTTCCTTTTTTTTTTCTTCTCCAGGAGAGCCTATGGTGTGACCAAAAAGCAGTCACAGTAAATTATGGATTTACTTTGTGGTGGAGTGGTTGTTGCAGTTTAAATGATAAATGTAGATGTTCGGCTTTGTGTCAGCTACCAGTTGTGTTCGAACAATGGTGATCTTCGCTACTGCCTCTGTGTCGCATTCAAACAAAAATAAAAGTGTTGCCTGCGCCAGGATGGGCGATATGGTTTTATCAGACAGCCTCGGACCGCGTTCAGGAGCGCAGCAGGAGCTATGAGGAGACACTGCTGGACTCGGATTTGCTTGGTCGGAAGATAGTTATATCTTTGTGAGAGCGCAGTGAAAAACGCGTAAAGACAGCGGCACCATCAGTGGTAAAAGTTGGACTGAAAGTTCATATTCAGTGAGGAAACTGATGCGCGTAAGAAGGGATGCCAGCCAGGCGTGGCTTGTGTTTGAATATCCAATGTGAGAATGCGTGGGGAGTATGTATATAATAGAGTCTTTCCATCTGATAAACAGAGATATCAAACTGATGATTATAGCAAAGGACGATCAATAAGCTGAAAGGACGCTGCTGGTTTTGGAGTCGCACGGCGCGCTGGGTGCGCTTTGGACTTGTGTAAACTTTACTCTCTCCTTGAGGCACCGAACATTTGAAATGCCTCCGCTTAATTTGACAGCTGTGCACACAATGGCAGAGGTCGGGAGTTTTCTGGGGACAATCGACTTGGATTTACAAACCTTTCCTGCACTCGGGACTGTGCCCTTACCGGAGCCTCCAGTGGGCTTGAATGAGAGGCTGGGGCAGATTGAAGGGAGGATGCAGCGGGGGTCGACGACGGATTTCGGGCACCTGAAGGGGATCTTGAGGCGACGGCAGCTCTACTGCAGGACCGGCTTCCAGCTGGAGATATTCCCCAATGGGACTGTGCATGGGACAAGACAGGACCACAGCAGATTTGGTGAGGATACTTTTCACTTTTTGATAAAATATTCGTTATATTGAAGATGTTGTCATATTATATTGCTGTCTCAACTGACAGAAATTGTTTATTTTGTCATCAACCATCAATTTATTATAGCCAAACAATAGTTGTGAAGGAGGTGTAAATTAAAAGGTGTGAATAAGGCCTCGGGTAATCTCGAGGAAAGCAATTATCAATAGCTTATTACAAAATGTAATTACAATTGTGCCATGTAATATATCATGTTCCCTCACTTAAGATAATTTCCCCTGCTGTCACTCTGAAACTAGGTGAAGTGAGTTTAATTAGGAGCCTTTTTTTCCTGCCGCGCTCCCCAGTGAATGCTCGTGCGTCACAGTCACCTGGCCACACACCTTTGCGCGTGGGGGGCAGGTGTCTCTCCTCAGCCGCGCAAACAAGCTGCGCGTGCGCGAGTCACCCTAACAGCAACAGTGAGCGCGCGCACCGGCTCTGAAGATTTGGTATCATTAATGTACATGGAGCGAGGTGCGGCTCGCGGGAGAATGATAAACAAGTGAGGTCAGATACGCACATGTCTCGCGCCTCATATCCATGCAGTCATCTCTCGCAGGTGCAGGCTGGCTCGCTCGCTGCGGGGAAAAAAAGCGGAATAACCCTAAATGAAAGCATGACCACTGCGGAATTCAGGAAAGTTTAATGTTCAGACTTGAGCCAAAACAAGCCGGTGTACAGGGATGGGTGGTCCGCGTGTTTGTCTCTGGCTTCACTTAGATTTAAAATGCAAGGTCTTTGTCAGAGCTGCATGGAAGACGTGGCTTTGATTAAAGGGATATGAAACACACTGTTCACCCCACAAAAAAATTAGAGGGATCTTCTCTGTCATTCTCTGGCATCAGATGAGGTTGGAGAGATGGGGACCAGGTGGCTGTACGCCGGCCTCTGCCAGTCAGCTCAGCCAGCTGGATCCTCTCTGACTAACCTCGGCATCAAAACAGCCAATAGCTTTTAATTTTATCACTTGTTTTCCTGCCTTTGAAGTACATGTTCACTTTACTGTAACCTTCAGTGAGTCAGGAGCCCACTAAACAACAAACCCACATCTCAGCTTCTCTGTCTGTATTAGTAGCCACTGGGAAATCCCAAAAGACAGGATGCACACTTTTATAGACACCACAACCTTTTAATGTAGTGAGTGATTTATGTGCCTCAGACCAGGAAGCTAGAAAATCTAAGAAATCTTTATCTGGTGCATCCGCTCCGTACATGTGTCCTCAGCTGTAATCAATGTCAATATAAATTATGTAGTGGCCTTACAATTGCATTTATTTTCCAGTTGTGGGAGGGAGATGCAAGTATGTTTATTTTTGAACCTGTTGGAACAAAAAGCCACATTTCAGGACATAATGTGACAATAAAGCAAAAGTAAAGCTTCCAAAATCAGTTCTCTGATGCATATTTTGACTGGTGTGATGTCACAGAACTGGAGGCCACTTGTTGCTGGGGAGGGTCTTCTGTTCGTGGGCTTTCTTGACTGTTTTGTGCATTGTGTGTGCTCTGTTTGGCCTCAGGTATCCTTGAGTTCATCAGTCTGGCAGTTGGTCTGGTCAGCATCAGAGGGGTGGACGCTGGACTCTACCTCGGCATGAATGAGAAAGGAGAGCTCTTTGGGTCGGTGAGTCAAAAGAAAACCCTTCTCCGTTCATTTACAACCCCGGCCTCACTGTGCAGCCCGGGGTCTCATTCACAACAAGTCTGCCACTCGACAAACGTGACTTGTTTAACAGAATGCACTTGTTCACAGCGTCTCGTAGAGAGTTAGACTTTTTCTTTTACAATATACGTCAGTAGGGAGCTATCAAAAATATGTTTTCAGGAGAAATCTGAGAGTTGGTTTGTTATCAAGGTTCCCTGTACGATGGGAAAACTTCAGTGAGACAAAACAAGCCTGTTTCTTTTACAGGGTCGCACACTCTGTCACACACTTCCCTCTTCTTTTTCTTCACAATAGGGACAGATACATTTATAAAGGAATTAGATCCAAAGTTGAACAGGAACACTAGCAAAGAAAATAAAAACAGAAATGTATTATTCTTGTATTTCATGTGAAGTCTTTGAAGGAGTTGCAGATAGTGCAGCTTTTGAGAGCAAATCTACCTCTTCCTTTAGTTTTGAGATGAGCAGAAATATTTACATATTTTCCCAGAGTGGAGACAGGAGTGTTTGGAGTCTCTTTGGATGTGTGCTGTGGGTGAATTTGCTGGAGATTACCTCTTTATGCACAGCTGGACTCAAGTTTTGTCTGCAGTGTTCAGCATTAAAGACATCTCTTGTGCTTTGCTACAGTAAATGTAGCATCAAAAGGATATTCACTTAATCCTGGCAATCTTTCTCTCGTATGCAGTTGGTATCTGGAGACAGAAAGAGAGAAGAGGTAAAGACAATGAAGGGGAAGTATGTGAGGGTTACCTGTATCAGGTGTCCCAGGGCATTACCTGGGGGCCCCTCAGGGCTCAGACTCCTCCCGGGCTCTGAGCATTTTGAACAGAGGCTACTTTTAAGCACGGCCATTATGTTGAAAGTGCAGATATTGTTACGCCGTGCTATCAGAGTCTGGCATCCTGGAGCCTTGACCCTGGAGTAAGGGGGGGGGAGGCGGTGATTTGAGGGGGGGTAATTGCACACCTGACTGAGTCACCTGACTGACAGAGGGATGTAGACACGTCTGTCTGTAGCTGAGAGGCCTGGAGGTGGAGGGGGGTGGGGGACAGGTAAAAGGGTGCAACAGCCAGACCTCGGTGAGCTTTTGATTTGATGAGGCGTGTGTGTGTGTGTGTGTGTGTGTGTGTGTGTGTGTGTGTGTGTGTGTGTGAGAGTGTGAGAGAGAGAGAGAGAGAGAGAGAGAGATGTGTGTGTGTGTGTGTGTGTGTGTGTGTGTGTGTGTGTGTGTGTGTGTGTGTGTGTGTGTGTGTGTGTGTGTGTGTGTGTGTGTGTGTGTGTGTGTGTGTGTGTGTGAGAGTGTGAGAGAGAGAGAGAGAGAGAGAGAGAGAGAGGTTGGAGCTGGCCCAGTCATGTGCCCTCAGGGCTGTGTTTACAGACAACAGTTTCACCACATAGCCGCAGCCAAGCAGAGCCTGACAGCCAATCAACAAAATTGCTGCTGGAATAAATACTTGCACAAACACTTGTTAGAACCGTACTGTGTGTTCAAAGACGGGACTGGCCGTGTACAGAAACCACATGAAAGTTGTGTTTAATTGGAAAAAAGGGGTGGGATAGTGACACCTTTAAAAAAGTGGTTTGCATTTTGCCCCCGATGATACCCCAAATTCAGCTGAGGTTGGACCCTCTTGCTGCATGACTGAATTGTCTTGGCAGGAGAGCAGCTCCAGCCCTGATGTCTCTTATTGTTCTCACACACTCACTCAGCCAGCACACTCTCACCTGCTGAACCCACAGCCATCGCTCATGCTGCGCTGTCAGTGCAGACAGAGGCTGTGAGAGCTGCTGTGTGTGTGTGTGTGTGTGTGTGTGTGTGTGTGTGTGTGTGTGTGTGTGTGTGTGTGTGTGTGTGTGTGTGTTGTCTGTGTGTGTGTGTTGTGTCTTGTGTGTGTGTGTGTGTGTGTGTGTGGTGTGTGTGTGTGGTGTTGTTGTGTGAAGAAGTGTGGCAAATATAAGAGGTGGGAAGAGAGAGATTAAGGTGAGTCGTGGTGTGTGTGAGAGAGAGGAAGAGACAACATGAGAGAGCGAGGGAAGATTGTTGCATCACGGGGAGGGAAACAATTCCCCATGCACAAGGAGAGGTTAACAGGTCCGAGGAAAAAGCGTGGGGCGTAAAGTGGAAAGCAGCTCGTAATGACTTCCCCTCTTTTGTCATAATAAGCACCTGCCTTAATGAGTTTCTACCGGTTCATTTCAGCTTCCAAGTGCGCTCCTGAATAGGTTAATGAAATACACAAACTAGCACACTAGGAGGAGTGGGATCTGATTGCCAAATGGCAGCATCCATTTCAATCTCAGCTGCATTTCTTTCTGTTTAATCATGATTCTGTTGCAAATGTACCTTTCTTTTTCTCACTCAGTGGCGTGTATGCAGGCCTTTAGCATGTGACTAATGATTTGTTCTGTCCACCAGCAGAAGCTGACTGCGGAATGCGTGTTCAGGGAGCAGTTTGAGGAGAACTGGTACAACACCTACGCTTCGACGCTGTACAAGCACGCGGAGACGGGACGCTTGTACTACGTGGGCTTAAACAAAGACGGCTCGCCCCGGGAGGGCAACAGGACTAAAAAACACCAGAAACTCACCCACTTCTTACCCAGGCCGGTGGAGATTGAGAAGATCCCTCAGGCGTACAGGGACTTATTCCAGGACAGGTGACCAGTGCTTACGCTTGGAGAACTGCTTTCAGAAAGAGAGGAGCAGAGAGGGGGTGTTGTGGATATTTTGGACCTGGTACAGAACTGTTTACCCTCAGCTCCCCCTGAGGTCACTGTGTTTGCGCCTCGGCCCACCGCCAAGCACTGACATAAACATTGAATGTCGGCGGGAGATGTTATCTTGTAAAACCACTGCATGGATGGAGGAGGCCCACATGACTGCTCAGCTGTGGGGGGATCAAATCAGGTGCCATGTTTTCTCAATAACCACTTTTAAGAGGTAAAGGCATAGATACTGAAGGGAATGGTTTTGGCACTAAGATGGGGGGGGGGGAATGAATGGTGGGCTATGAGAACACCATTAGAGACTTTTAGGAGTTCAACGTGACGGGAAGCACCGCAGATGTAACTATGTGCATTTGTCATGCACTATATAGAGTTAAGGAAGGAAAAGGGTACATTCCACATACACAGGGATGGATATAAGAAGAAACTGTAAAGTGACAGGGTGGGATGGTCAGGTAGAAGAAGAATGTCTGTGAGGCAGAGAGCAAACTGTTACAAGACAAACTGGGCTTTTATTAAGTTTACTTTAAAATCAAAGATAAGAAAAAGGGGAATGATTGAATTCATTGAAGATGAATGCGTGATAGATGAAGAGCACTTACTGCACATCCCCTCCTCGATCTGTAGGCTCACTGGTAGTCAGAGTCTAATGATCTCTTTTACCACATTTTAAATATCAAATGGCGTCTTGTAGCATTTGTATGCCATACAGGCTATCAAGAGTCGGGACAAAAGCACTTCTCTGACTGTGGTTATAAAGAATTGTGAGGGGATGTTTTTAAAGGATGGTGACTTGTAATGTTCATAGTGTCCGGAACATTACTAAAAATGCAAGCAGCAGAGGTGTACATATGGGTGATCCTATTTATGAGATGTACAATATATTTATTTTCTACATATAAAGTATAAATATATATATTTATTTATTGCAAAGACTTTATTTTGTAATGAACTCGGACTGTAGATTCTACTGAAATTACACATAAAAAACTGCAATGAACATGACAATAAAATTGTCCTGCTAGAACTCATTGTGAGAGACTATTTTTCCTTGGATGAAAATCTGATGTACCAATTGAAACCAGATATAGAATCGATGTGAATGTTGCATTTCTTTACTTTTGTTTTCAGCCATGCTAGCAGAATGATAATGTAGGCCAGCTGGACTTCGGTCCAGACTGAAATATCTCGACAACTGTTGGATGGATTGCCATAAAACATTCTACGAACATTCCCGGAGGACAAATTTAAATGACTTCGGTGATCCCCTGCCTTTCCTCCAACACCACCACGAGCAACACACTGATGTGTTTTACCTGATAATGAACACAACCATCTTAACATTACAAATATATTTTCTTTGTTCAGTCTAGAAGGTTAGCGTTTTGCAGAAATATAGATAAGTAAATCATTATTTGGTTGCTTTTTGTTAAAATACCTCAAATGTAATGTTTTCATAGCACCAGTTGCATGACATGTTGTCCTGCTGTCCCAAAGATGGAGGTAAAAAGATACAGCAGATTTTTTTCCCAGAGGAGAACATGATACAATCCCATGCCAATTTGCCCTCATAAACCCTTTACCAAGTAATGTGCACAGGCCCTCTCTGTCTCCATAAGGACTTAGTCCGCCTACATCCACCGTACAAAATCAGATTCCTTATGCAACTGGATCCTGGCTCCTAATTGGCTTTACACATCAGCATGGATTTAGAGCAGTGATTGGTTGTCCATTGTGGGGCCTCACAGACCATAGTGTAGTCTGCAGCCTGCTCAACAGACAGAAACAGCTGCCTGCTGCTCACACAACCAGCGGGGATGTGCTGCAAACCTGGAGTGGTGGTAATCTGGGGCTGTGAGGGGATGGGATCAACATTTCAACATCTGCAATAGTTGTAATGTTTCTCCACTGGCAGATATCTGTAAGCTGTGAGAGCAAGCTCCCATTGGGGGGAGGGAATGGAAAAGTCAAAAGACATGCAGGGGAAAACCCTGGCAGACTGAGAAATGAAAACAATACCGGGAGAGGGAAAAATAGATGAAAGATTGAAGGGAGAGGAGAGGGGGACAAAAGGCACTTAGTGCAGTGGGTGTGAAATACAGGGACACTGCATTAGGATGTATCAGCTATCTGCCTTCCAACTGCTAGAGAGCTCTGTATTTAGGGAAGTGGAGGGACTTAGCTTAGCTTCAGTTTAGCAAAAAGACTGGAATCCGGCAGAAAAGGCTCACCTGGCTTTGTTAGGTTAAATACATCTGTCCATCTTACGTAGTCCCCTAAAAATGCCTGAAACAACTTATATTTTACCTTTCAAATTACCTGTCAATTAGACATCTTGATTACAGTTCTTTAACACCTACTTTTATGGGCCGCATGAATAATAGTTTTGTTTTCTGGGTCCTATGAAAACCATGACATTTTATCATCGCCCGTTACCTTTAGACACACATCTGCCTTCCTCAGCTCTCAGCTGCTGATCTTCATCTGTTAATGTCTAATGAGAGGAACATGTGTCATCAGATCTATTTTAGATATAAAATAAATATTGATATAAACCTTAGAAGAAAAAAAAAAGAAACACCACCAGTTCGGCTTCAGGTATGAAAACTCTTACCCGCATTCCCCTAAATGAATTCAGTCAAGTGTGGAAGTCATTGGTCAGTCTTTAAGTCCTTTAACAGAAATGACTCAAACACAGGAGCTGCTCATCATTTTGGTCACTTTATTAAATGTTATATTAAATACTTATCAAGATAAAAGCAGATCAAATTCATGGTAAATCATGTCGGTGTATTTGCTAACATAAGAACATTCTTAGAGGAGGGCAACAAACTTTCTCTACATTTATGAAATACACCTTGTGCAAACACAGGATCCGACTAGAGACAACATGTCTTTGAGAGAAATATATTCCTCCTGATTAACAGCTACACCAGTTTAAGCATTTAGAAGCAAAAATGTGCCAATGTAATATACATGTTGGGTGCCTGAGGGCCTGCCTGGTGAGACTAGAGTCCAGAAGGCAACTCTCACAAAGCAGAGAAAACACATCAGCCAGATCTGTATTAACATTTCCTTCTTTACTTTATCAAATCCATTTGAAATACAGAATTAACACTTTGACAAACAAGTAAAGGGAAACATTTTGGGCCCTCTGATGTCCGGCTGACGTGGCTGTGCTTTGTGAGACCCAGTCACTCACCCGAGCTCGGGATCAACACAAGTGGAACATAAACAATGAACAGGACGCACAGTGCTATGCTAGACAACACGTGACGATGAGCAAGATGTTACAAAAAGGTCATAGGAACCGGCAGGCAGTTTTTAACAACACAAGCATTCCATTACCATGTTCAGCAACAACTAATGTAAACACTTAAAAGCATAATAGAAAAGATCCTCAACAAATCTCAAATCTTTACAGAGCTTTTTTTTCATTTTTTGTAGGAAATTAATAAGGCCATCATCTTTTTTTCGGTTTTAGTCAATTTCATGCCTCCCAAAAAAAAGCAGAACTTGGCAGCACCACCAGTTTCTGCTTTGCTAGATATTGGTGAAGGAATCTAGCGAGGCTAATGATCCTGTAGAGCTTTAGATAATAGAGTCACCGACGGCAATGGTCCCACTCAGGTTTAGTTTAATTGAAAACAGTATAAAAAAACTGAGTTTGAATAATAAGGAACCCTCCTTTTCGAGAAAAAAACACAACGCTTAAAAGCATTGGGGGTAACATGAGTTTGTCATTAAATACATGAAAGAAATGAAGATATAGAACTTGAATAACATTAAGGCGGTATATACATTTTTTCCTGCTGAAATTCCTCAGACCCATTTCACACAGTCACTTATAAATTATATTCCACCATGTCTCAGTGAACTACAGAATAAAGAACTGAGTGGGTCCCACTCGGGGCCCCAGTGGACAGCAGCCTCAAACTCCCCCGCCCTCCGCCTGCTGCACCGACTGCTCTGAGCTTGTGGCGATGTCACGGTGTGCAACAGGGACCCGGGCCCCGCTCCGAAGGGCCCCCTGGGAGCCGGCTAGCTGAGATGGGCGGTGAGGAGCCGTCCCTCTGACCTACAGGCCCTTAGAGGGACCCGGGTTCTTGCCCATGCCCCCCAGGCCGTGGAGCTGCTGGTAGAGACCCACCAGGTCCATCTGGCTGAGCCCAGCGCCTCCCATCATGCCGTTCTGCATGGCCAGCTGCTGCAGGTAGTTGGCCTGGTTCTGCATGGCCAGCTGCTGCTCCTGCACCTTCCTGTTGGTGATCAGCTTCTGAACGTACATCATCAGCTGCGAGGAGACAGGGAAAATAAGAGTGTCAAGAACAAGACCTATCATGTCAAACGTACAAGGCAAGATTAGAGTCATAAGAATATGTAAGAAGAGCCATTTACTTCTCCATTTTCTTTAAAGTCTGACCTGCAGATTCTTGCTGATTTAGTTTCTTTTAAAGAGCTATGATGGACAGCATACACAATTACATGTGTCTATTTGCAAATCAGTCGTTGGCGGGCCTATTGATCGTTGCATCTATACAGACGCTGCAGTCCTACCTTTCAACTTCTGAAGGTTAAAGTATTCAGTTTTGCAAACAGACATTATCAAAATGTCCCTTTTGCCCTTTCTTAGTGTAAAGGACTCCATTACATTAGGTTTAACAACTTTATGAACTTATTAAACTGTTCTTAAGGAATGAATGAACAAATGAATCCATAACTTTAACTAGTAAGTCCTCTTTAAGCACCATTGTTTAAATATAATGTACAACTTCATTTTGTCAATATTTTTGGACAATTCTTCCGTTTACTTGTCATGATAAACAGTCTGCTATTAAAGAGCTGAGAGCAGCTTGTCTCCGAGTCCTCAGAGCAGTCCTTACCGTCTGCTGCCTGGTCAGGACGTCCCGGTACACGGCCTCTCGGTGTTTAAACTCCAGCTCCACGGTGGACTGCCGGCCCAGAGCCATGGACTGCACCTGAGCTTCATTGAAGGAGGGGTTCTCCTTCCACTGGGGGCAGAGGGGACGGCTCACATGTTAACAAACGCCATCACAACCACATCATTCCTCCACTTCCATCACGTTTCAGACCAGAAACAGAAAAGTGACTTCTCAAGACATCATTTCGTCGCACTCACCACTCTGCCGATGATGTCTTCTAGCGGCTCTCGTGTTATAGACTTCAATGAATTTGTTGCTTCGATGACTTTCTGGCGTCCCTGGTTTATCAGGTCCTGAACACAGATGAAGAAGACAGGTGAGCCTTTTTCTCATCTTCACAGTAAGCATTGGTGACATAGCTGTGAGAAATAACTGGTGAATATTTAAAAGGGGACGACCAATTTTCAGCCTGGCTGATTATGGTCTGCAATATACAGCAGTCTTATAATACTTATATTTGTCTGTATCCAATTACTCAAACAAGATATATTTACAGACCAACTTGTGATCGGAAGACAATTATTCTCTATAGGCGCGTTCACACCAAGTACTTTTCCCACAAAGGTTCCTGAGAACTACGATTTAATTGCGTTCACACCAAAAAGTCCCAGGAACTAAATTAGTTCTAGAGAACCTTTTCTACCCCCTTTAGAGAGCAGGGACTTTCGTGGGAGAAAAAGGTTCCTGTGTCTGATTGGCTGGGCGGAATGCAAACCACGCCCCGTCAAACTCCCAAAAACTTTTGTGAAGCCGCCATTTTATTATCCTCGCATTGCATTATTAGCATTAGCATTAGCCCAGCGCAGAAACGCAGAGAGACTAACTTATGACAACACAAAATAAAACATGGGAGCGGTGGAGATGAGGAGGTGTCGGCGTTCTGGCCGTTTACTCGGAAGGCTTCAGTAGAAGCTGCTGTGAGTCCCAGCAGCTTCTACTGAAGCCAGTCCCTAACTCCGGGGACTTCCGGCCGGGGATTTTGGGCGGCAGTATACGCCGTGAAGTTGTTTACGGCCTGCCAGTAAATCCAAAGCAGAAGAAGAAGAAGTGACGTCAGCGGCTTCATTTGCCTAATCCACCCCCAGGAACTAATTTCCGGTGTGAACGCGATCTGTACTTAGTTCATGAGAACTAAAGAGTTCTCAGGAACCTTTGTGGGAAAAGTACTTGGTGTGAACGCGCCTTATGTCTTTAGTTAACTCTCGCCACGCCAGCACCACTATCTGAACGGTTACATGTCTTCAGTAAGAGCCGAAGTGAAGTACAGTGTGTATTTGATAAAGTAGTCATAGTCTTGTCTATCATAATATTTAATACTGACGTTGCTCCTTCAGGTGTATCAGAGTACACAACTTAACACACATTAAAACATGGGGGCAGTTGGTAAATTATTTAAGATGTAACCAATTATTTGGATATTTAACAACATCAGAAAAAACAAAACACCCTTCTCAACATTGTTATGACTTTTGAGTGATTAAAAGACAATTCATTTGAATAACTTCTTATTCGATTACTGAACTCAATGCCTTTTATGACTTTTTAAAGGATCCCTGGGAGGATTTCTCACATGCCTTGATTACAAGAATTAAATCCACAGTATTTCTACATTGATTCGAAGTTGTGATTCAAAAACACAAGTTGCCTCTGAGAGGTTTTTTCCTTCATGTCTCTGAGATGGGCCACCGTGTATAAATAGTTGCCGTCCCAGACATGGAGCGTTATGAAGCGTCGGCCGGAGGAGCGGGAGAGCCGGCTACTAGACTGTTGTCACAATTAGCAATGGGGTCTGAGGAATGTGGGGCGCCATGCCGTGGGGGAGGAGAGGGAGGGAGGAGAGGGGCATGTGGAGCTCATTACTTACCTCCAGCTGCTGGTTGGACATGGAGGCCAAAGCCGCCATGTTGAAGGAGAAGTAGTTGGAGGCGCCCATGTCCATCTGAGGGTATCCCACCTGGTAGTTGGACTTCACGAAAACACCCTGAGAGAGGAGAGACAGTAAGAGCACCATTACAACTCTGCAATAAGGCAGGTTTGAAGAGCCACCAAGTGCATGATGGGAAACACGTGTGCAATTGCTGTGGTTAACCAGAAACTAGGACTGTGTCTAACCACTCATTCATTTATTGTCGATTGTACTGATGAGTCCAAGCTAAACGATTCATATTTTTCCAAACAAATAAACTTAGATCGCCTGTTATATATAAGGTCATTTTATTTTGACAGTCAGTTACACATCATAATTAATAGATACAATAAATGAATAGCAATGTGCCCAATCTTTCTTTAACTTAAACCTTTAATTCATTTGATCACTCGATTTGTCATATCTATTATTTTATATCATTCTTTACACAACAAAATGTGCTGAAAAAAACAGGCAAGAACTAAATACAATTAGGTTTTTGTTGCAAATTGAGTTTCTATATACATTTTTTTTTAAACAGGCTTGGTTGAGCTCCTCCCTTTATATTTTATCAGTAACAACAAAGCTCGAATTTAAACTGCGAGTGTGTGTGTGTGTGTGTGTGTGTGTGTGTGTGTGTGTGTGTGTGTGTGTGTGTGTGTGTGTGTGTGTGTGTGTGTGTGTGTGTGTGTGTGTGTGTGTGTGTGTGTGTGTGTGTGTGTGTGTGTGTGTGTGTGTGTGTGTGTGTGTGTGTTGGGGGCCGGGGGGGTCTTTGGACCAGGTCAGAGACAGGTGTGCAGATTTAAACAGTACAAAACAACCACACACACATACTTCACTTTTGGGTTTGCTATTAACAAGCAGCCACTCAATGTAACTTGTGCTGCATTCTCAGATGCTCTGCAGACGTCATACTCCTCTTCAGACAGACACAACACACACCTGACTGCTTTTCAGACCTAACATTTATGACGAGCCTCTAGGCTTCATGCCGAGCCGAAGTCATCCCTGTGAGGTTTAGTTTTGGGCACATGATCATGTTCTCACAGTTTTTCCCCATTTCCTGAGTTGCAAATCTGATATTTATACAAATATCTTTCCCTGGCCACCAACGGGCTACCCTTAAGTTATGAAGACATTGGCAGAGGCCGGGTTTCCTTCCAGTTGTTTCTCATACAAAGATCACAGTACACAGCATCAAACCGACCAGCCTCCCGTGAGGGAAAGTGACTACCTGCTCATCTTTAGTGAACATCAAGATGCAGCGATGCAAATGCAATTCTGAAATCCTCAACCTGGTGCCATTGTTTTTCCCGGTGAATGGGAAACCCTCTGTTCTCTTAAAAATCACAGGAGCTCTGAGGGAAAAGCCGCTTAAGGCTCACAGAGGGCAGAGGAGGGAGAGCGTGTTGGAAAAATAATCGTAAGGATGAATTAGAATCTAGGATTACACAGAGGGGGGGGGGAAAGAGAACTGCTCTCCTACAACTCACCCCAACCATACACTTCTCCAGATAAACCCCACTAATTGCCCATTGATTTGTCCCACAAGAAACAAGAGGGAAGAGGAGGGGAGCGGCACGAGAAAAGAAGGGAAGCTCCCTAACCCTCTGTGGACTAATCGTACTCACAGACTACTGACACTGCCTCTCAGGGGTTTATAGAGCAGGGGGCCAGAACAACCATCCCACTAATAGGGGCGTCGGCCCCGTCACCTGCTTACTCCAGGTGACGAAAGGATGCCACAGATCTAACGCTAAGTCACACGTCTTGAGAAATAACCGTGGGGCCTTACAAAACCTACCTTGCACTTTGGTTTCAATTTGGAGAGTGATGGACACAATGCTAAGTGCTGCCTGTGCTTGCCTATGATAATAGAACTGGTGGATATGCCAGCGTAAAGCGTGTGTGTGTGTGTGTGTGTGTGTGTGTGTGTGTGTCTCCATGCCTACCTTTTTCTCTGCTTCGTACTCGGCCCAGGCAGCTTTGCGATCCTCCTCGCTCAGGGCTTCCTCCCCCTTGTGCTCCAGCAGGGAGTCGTGTTCATGGTAACACATGATCTGGTCCTTGTTATTCTGCAGCATCTCAGCCAGGAAGGGATCCTACAGCAGGCAAGATTAGATTACCTTTAATCGTTTGGTCAACAAAACATCAGAAATGACACCAATTTCATTTGTAGAATGACAATGTCCTTAGATTCAAAAAGTTATTTTACAATCATTCAGTAGTCACTGAGTTCCAAGTTGACAAGTTCCACGAAATTAACCAGAGACGTAGCAATCACATCATCCACCTAAACCATGATGCTCCTGAAGGATCACCCACAATGCAACACATTGAATCGTAAACACGGTCTGCTTGGATCTCCAGCCTCAGCGACAGGAAATCTGCACTGAAGCTAGACATTGATTTTGTTGGAGGAGCAAGAAGACCTTTATTCTGTAGCTTATCCGCACCAAGCAAGATTTGTGGATAACATTCTGTAAATTAGCTACCAGTTAGCACCTGCTTTGGTACTCTACAAAATAGAGTACAAATCCTAACCTCTTAGTTCTAATGGATTTTAGGCAGGGAGAAATGGGCTTGCCTGTAAAGAGGATTAAAAGAACATGTAAAAAGCCAAAAATAAATAAATAAATGAAGGTTTGGGGGGGCTCTGGTTTCCATGACTACACTGTTATTGAAAACAATACCTGAGTAAAATGAAGAGAGCTGGGCCAGGCTATGCTCACACAAACATGGTTTAAATTACTCTCTCTGCAGCACGTTTGCTTTTCTTTGTCTTAGCTTTACATTAAGCTGGAACTTTGCAATCTGGAAACAACGTCATGCAGGGGTTGCATCATTGCCCCGCACACAGAGCCACTGAGAGGGGCTCAGCTTTCCTCTCCTGCCCTGCTCGGTCTCGCTTTGAACTGTGACAATGAGTGTGAAGTTGCAAACAAAATTAATCATAGATGTCACTGGTATTAAGGAGGAGAAAAAGAAACCCCAAACTATGAAATTAAGCAGTGATTGCAGACCTGCATTGAATAAACAGAAAATAAACACCAGACCAGACGGGGTGAAACTGGATCTCTGGAGGGGGGGGGAAGCAGCATGAGAACGACACAAGAACCTATTTTTAAGCCTCACAACTCTGGAAATGGACAGAAAAGGTGGCTGAAACAGGTAGGAGCACACACAGATTCACACCCCCATACCCATCAACCCCAAACACTGAAAAGGGACTCGAGACATGTTTATGTTTCCCAGCCATCGCACTCAATCAGGAGCAAACCAGGCCACCCCTGAGCAACCAGACATGTGGAGCAGCGGCACAGCCAGAGATTCAACTGCTGTTCTGCTCTCTAATTAGGACATAAAAGCACCGAAGAGCCTGTTGGCATGACTCTCGTAAAAAGGCATTCATTGTTTGTTTTTTCTGCTAACATAGGTGGGCACAAGGTCAAATGAAGGCCAGGACAGCAAAGGCACAAGACACACATGTCAAAGTCCATATCGTCACTTGCATGTTCAAAACTGTCAAACTATTAAAAAATGATGTGTGCTTATATTATTTGAACAATGCGTCATCAAAGTTGTCGGTGTCTTTATATTTGCTCAGATACTTGCAGGTGTCATAATTATTCATTCTGAAGAACACCGGTTGCTCAGCTCATCAGAAAGAGACTGAGCCTAAATAAGATCAGATTTAAATATTGGTGTATCTACCGAAGGTTAAACTATGAAAACACTGCAATATGTCCCGTCTGTGGTGCATGCATGAAAAAAAACTCTTGACTTTCGACCAGGTAACGGGTCAGTGGAGCTGCACTGCAGGTCAAATGACAGTACAGACGCTCCTTCTGGAACCCAGTGCATTCTGGGATACCCAAGTAATCCCCACCAGCAACAGCTCTGGGGTGGTCCGGTCCATCTCCAACCCCAGTGCGCTCAATGTGTGTGTCCCGAGCCAGCACTAATGATCGGAGGTAAACTGACCTGGGCTATTGTCATCCTTATGGAGCTGCATGGTGAGGCCTGATCACTTTACTGCAGGGGAGCAGGTCTGAGACGCTGGGTGGGCAGATGCTCAGACAGAAAGGAGGGAAATTACCCCACTCAACTCCACTTGTGTTTTTTCCCCCCCTTTATAAAAAGTATGAGCAGCAGGGGGAGGATTTGGGGGAGGAATTTTGGCATTTGGCATCACAGAGTGTTTGTGTTTTCAGATTTAATAATGGAGTTGGCTGTCCACATCTGAGGATAAGCTCAAGTAAGTTTAAACCAAAAGAATCTCAACACATTCAGCCTCAATCAGCGTGTGATAATCTGCCGTCTTGATTCTGATCAGCAGTGTTTACTTTTATTCAACAAAAGGTCTGCAAATGTCCCGCTAATGTAAAACAAGTTTGTAGCTGGAGGTATTGGCTTCATCTGACTGCTAAACAAAAACACAAAAAGGGTCAGCAGAGCGAAAACAACTTAACAATTAGTATACTTATCGCACAAAGCATCCAACATGCATGACATTTACCATCACATGAAACCCTTTCCATTGAGAGAACCATGTATGCCCTCCTTAACGCAAAGTCTTGTACATGTATAGATTACAAAAAGGTCTAAACGGCCAGCAGTCCATAAATGATGTAAAGTAGTTGTAACTCAGCAGCTCGCAAATCAGAAAGAGGAACATTTGAGAGTCGACATAAGCGGGCCTCATGTGGACTTTACAACTTGGCACAGGCACCAACGCGTACTTTACCAATAGACTTTAGGTGGCGCTGAACTGTAAAAGCTCTGATGCAATTAAACACCCGCCTGCATTAATAGCTCTTGGTTCTATGCTACAGGTTTCCTGGCCGCATGATCAGATATTTTCTCAAGCTGAGAACATTCTCAACCATGTTAACCCAATTTCCTGCCTCCTATTATGTAGAAGCCTTAAACTAGAAGCTTAAAGGAGAGTTCCACATTTATTTTATTTCTGTCATTGCCACAACAATAAGCCTCCACTTAACAGAGAAAAGACCTCACAGGAGGAATTGAATGTGCAGGAGAATGAATTTCATGGAGATATGAAGGCAGGGTATATGCAGGAATCCTGAAGTCAAATGTAATACTTTTTTAAGACCCTTTCCGTACATTTTAAGACCTCATCGCCACTTGGAGTTTTAACCGGTTACATTGGCGACACACTTTACCTCACATTTTACTATATACAGTATTGATTGTCCTTCCTCCTTATCTTCCAACCCTTTGGACGCAGACTTGCATTTCCCCATAACGATGTTGTTTAACAACCGGCGTAAACGGGCCTTTGTGCGCTATCAAGCAGTGAGCGCGCGATGTCCTGTTCAGATGACGTCAAACCCAACGGGATGCCATAAATAAACTACACAGAATCACACTACACACCTACGCAATGATTACATTCAGGCAGACTGTAGAATACAACCTCTTTGGACAATTTATATACTTATTGGAAACAAGCTACAAAATGTAATACCTTGGAAAATGCCTTTTAATACTTTTTAATAGCCTTAATTTTCGCTAAATTGATTTATCAACTTTTAATACTTTTTAAGACCCTGCGGACACCCTGGAAGGGAATATAGATATTAGATTGTAAAACAAAAAAGAGAACAATACAAAGATAAGGGGAAAGAAAAGAGACACACATCAGGAGGAAAATAAGCCTAAAAGTGACAAAGGGAGTTCTTAAGTTGTCAGGCTATAGAAACGAGTTACTCGAGTTGTCCAGGAATTTTTGAATGTTTTCAAAGTGGCCGTCTCTGCCAGAAACTGCATTTGACACACAGGTGTGTTAACCATAGCAACATAGGGGCCAAGATAGGATCCCGACAGCAGGAATGCGAGTGTCTGAGATATTTGTAATACCTAAACATAGCAAGTCCAAAGTGTCCGTCTCCCTCAGCAGCACACAAGTGATACACATCACTGGCTTGATGAACAGTTTCTCAGCTTTTAACTACCGGCGCTGTCCCTGACGTCAGGAGGCAAGCCCTGCCCTCACGACCACGTCGTCTTTACACCCTGTAGGCTCTGCTCACAAGGCAGCGTTATCTAGCGGTCAGTCAATTAACAAAGAAACAAAATCATGCATGTCACAAAGGGCTAAACAAAGATAATAAACGTACCACATTCCTATAAAAACAAGCCTCGGCTAGCAGCAGTTTGCAACAAGGTCCTGATCGAACAGCTGGACGGGCAGGTCGGGGGGGATTCACCACGAGTCCACTAAAGCATAATGGAGGGACTGTACTGGGAGGGGAAAAAGTCTAACAATGGAAATTGGTTTCTCAATAAATCCTAAGTGAGAAGCAGGCTGTGCACTAGTTGTGGTTGAGCACATAGTGTGGGAGTGGAGAAGTGGCGAGGATGCCAGGCTTGGCCGTTTCTCATGGGATGCTCTGCAGACTGAAGGCCGGGTTATGCTCCAAAGAAGAAGTGGTTCATAAGATGTGTTATCCAACCGTGTCCAAAATCACAAGTGATTATGGCGGTTTAATCAGCCACACCGGAAGGCGGGATGAAAGGACCGCAGCCATTGTGAGTAGTAGATGCAATATCGCTTAAAGTGGGGACAATGGTGCACACATTCCACCTCTAATGGGAGGTATTCATTGTGTTGCACACGTTGTACATGTGAAAAGTGACTGAAACAGTTGTGTAAAGAAAAGAAACGTTTTGAAGTTCAAACCCTGGCCCCCTTCTCACCTACGCACAGCTGGCCAATTAAGGCGCAAAGTGGGTGTGAAAGTCGGATTGTCGGTTTCAGAGAAGTAACAGAAATTAGGGGACACAGACCCCGAAACGAATATTAGAAAGATTTGAGGGGGAGGGGGAGGGGGGGGGTAATGGTCATCGTTTATATTGAATGTCCATCACTTTGGTAATAAATTATTGGTTTCAATATTTCTTTAACAAAAGGAAAAGTGAAATTCTGGGATTACTGCTCTGTTAAATTTGAACATTTTCTGGTTTATTTACGAATCGGGGGAAAAAAGAGACACGAGGACTTCTCTTTGGCTTATGGAAATGCTGATTTCCTCTTTCCACAATTTGCTCTTATGTCAAATGACTAACTTAATTATAAATTTAAAACAAAAATCAACACTGAACATGATTGTTAGTTACAGCCCTAGATGGGAGGGGTTTCATCATCTGTACGATTGTATGACACGTTTCTGTATGATGCTCCCTTCAAGACCTTCTGGCAAAATTAGGTCATATTTCTATGTGTTCAGTGTTCTGTACATTTCTACGCTCATTGTTTTATCTGGTCAGGGCTTTACAATGTCCTGCTCCCTGCTCCCTAACACTGCAACACCTCATCCTATCCAAAAGAAATTGGTTAAAAAAAATGAAAAAACAACCAACTTATCACATGACAAACTTCAACAACCATACAGCAATTAGTCATATAAAACGTCAGCAGCACTTCCATCTCCACGGAGAGTAACAGAGCAGAAAGCAGCAAACAAGGGCCACGGCTCTCGCTTTTTCTTCACCTGCACAACACGGTCTCTTGCTCTTACTATCATTAGTGCTCTCTCCACCTGCAATGCAACAAGCCCAGGCATGTGTTCTGAAGACAGGCAAAAAAGCATTCTGGGAAGTATGACAAACCACTTACCCATGTAGACATACAATGGGCAAACTGAGGTTGTGTACACCAGAACACTGATTTACAAAGATGTCAGCACAAAATAAACCCTGTACTTCAACCAACATCACTGACTGGTGATATTTAATGCTCAGGGGATTTTCCTTCAAGGTCAAAGTGACTTCCTACCCTTAATGAGACAAGCATGGTGTGGCTTATTGCTCCAGTCTGCTCCTGTCTACACTGTAGTTCAAGTGCAGCCTCCCCACAGCCTCAGTGTACCTGACGGAGCCTAATGACCACTGCAGCCATAACCTGCTGAGAGCACAGACAGAGAGCGACGCCCACAGCCGGACCAACAACGTGCAGCAACTTTTGCAGAGAATGCCTCAAAAGAAGAAAAAAAAAGTACAAAAACATTACTCTTCATTTTTTAGATGGTGGAGACGAGTGCGATTAGCAAGAAATGGATGAGGGTGTCTCGGGACGGGACGGGACGGGGGGGTCAAACTCATGTCTGGACTGCGAGGACCTTCTTTGTCATTAGGAGGAAGTGCCCCTGCTTCCTTTGTCTCCAATTAGTTTCTCTGAAGAGCGCAGAGACATCTTTAAGAGAGGGGTTTAAATAATGACCCTTCATCATGCAGGGTAGGCCAGAGGGAGAAAAAGAAAAACAACTTTACTCAGCTCGCTTTGAACATTTAGAGGCAGAGTGGCAAGTTAGGGCAACAGATGGTCTCGAAGCGGGGTAGTGGTGGACAGGAAAGAGAGAGCGAGGACATCAGTGAGGACAAGGGGGGGCAGGGCGATGCAGGATATTGGCAGGTGGCAGCACAAAGGGAACTGAACCGTAGAGGAAATAGGGGGTAGTGTTAACATTAAAAAGTCAACTCTTCAGTGATTTTTTCCTTACAACAAGACTGTATAGACGAGGCCAGAAATAAGTCAACTTGGCTTCTTATTCATAATATCCAACACCGAGTGTGACCCGAGCCCTAAAGCAATATGCCCTTTCAGGCTGAGGAGAAACAGCAGTTCCCAGTGTGAAGAAGTACAGAACTCCCTGTGCCGTGGCGCGCTTCAGCCTCTCCTTCTGTGCAGAGCATTTTCTGGCTGAAACTGATGGAGGGTGTCTGACTCATCTTCAGATCATTCCAGACGGCAAATTCCTTCCGTAATACTGCAGTCCTGCTGCCACATCATAGTTAACCCCCTGGCCAAAACAGGTCAGCTTGTTAAAGAGCTTGTCAGCTTCTCCGTCTTTAATACTGTGTCACATGAATGTCAGTGGGCTCATTAAAGATCATACACATCCAACAGGCCGCGGCTCAATGAACACATCTTTCCTCTTGAAATCTCCAACCGTGCTGCGCTGCACTGTAATAGGCGACTTTAGAGGAATATGGAAGGTGAGAGCAATGATATCAGCTGCCGGCTGAGTGGATTCACGCAGCGCTCCTACCTGTTAATACCCATGAAGGGAATAGCGATAAAGATCTTTGGACAGTGTAAATGGAAAACAGATTTGCCATCAAAGCCTCTTGACTGTCCGCTGAAAGACTCGGATGCACAGTGTTTCCTTAATGCACTGTGTTTACAGATACCCAGGTCAAACCAAAAACACGCAAGTAAAACCACTTAAGGTGATCTGAATAAACCAAGAGACTGCATGAAGGGGGAAAGAGTGGGAACAGGTGGGAGTAATTCAAAAGATCAACAAAGAAGTAAAAGACGGCTGAATGAAAAAAGAGGAGTGAGGGTTTATAGCGGGGCAGAAGCAGTGTTGCAATGAGAAGACTATTTAGTAAATAGCAGTAAACACAGAAATCTGTGCAGCTGTGCGAGCTTGGATGGCCCATTTAAGGGCTGTGTGTTCGTATTAAACTCCGGGGGTCCCAAATAGTGACAGAGCACCTGCATCAAGGGGATTACAAAAGTAAACGAGAAGAAGAAGAAGATAGATCCCGGAAAGGCCATGCAGGACACAAGCTGGCATCGTGTGTAAATACAAGTGCTAAACTTCAAAGGAGAAGAAACTGCTTGGTGCCGGTTTGGAAAACAAGCTTGGAATTTCAACTGGCATTGTTTGTTGAAGGAACAAAGATGATTTGACCACTGTTAATAGGTTTCAGCCGGCTTCTCTGCATTTCCTCTGGGGGTCAGTCTCAGGAAAACCAGGACATCTCAGTCCATGGTTCGTCAAAGCCCAATAAGATGTATGATTTATTAGAACGACAAAAGTATGTTTGGTACCACTTAGAAGCATATTTGAAAAAGCTAAGTGCATAGTTGGCATACATATCTGCGTGTTTACCTTAGGAAGCAAGGGCGTGGCTCTCTTGCTCTTCTTCTCCGAGGATTCTTCCAGCATGTCCGGGTCGAAGATGTAGAGCTCCGTCAGCTCGTTGGTTGTGAAGTGCCTCTCGATCTGTTGCTGGTCCACTACCCGGAACGACAGAGACTGTTTGGTTACCTGCCGGTCGTAAATCTTGTCCTCCATTGTACCCTGGAAGAAGAGAATGAAATGGGAGTCAGTCAAGAAAGAAGAACTACATATACAATTTAACAGGAAGTAGTAAATAACAGTTTCATGAGCTCACCTGTGCCAGGAACCTGTACACATAGACGGTCCTAATCTGGCCAAAGCGGTAAACCCTGAAGATACTCTGGACGTCGTAGGAGGGGTTCCAGGAGGCGTCGAAGATGATGACCCTGTTGGCTCCCACCAGGTTGATGCCGAGAGAGCCGGCTCGCGTTGAAATTAGGAACAAACGACCCCTGGGAAAGAAAGCATGGGAGATAGGAGAGTTAGTGCTTTTAAATGCATCGTGGAACCATTTCAAAATCAGTCAAATGTCTACCTTCGGTTATTGATGTCATTAAAGTCTTCAGCCCACTTCTTCCTGGTCAATGCGTTGGTGGAGCCATCCAGGCGATAGTAGTCGATGTTCCTGAACCACTTGCCTTCACCTTCACAGACAATTGAGTTACAGTTAAGACATCTGCTCTGACTAATTAACATGTACATATGTCCTCTTAAAAACTTCAAAAACAAACTTGGCCCTTTCCTTGTCAAAAGGATTTAGTTTGGGTATTAACAGACAGCCGATAGATGGTTGTGTTGGTTAGAGGCCAGCCGTGTTTAGCCTTCAAGATGGCCAACCCCCTACCAGCCATCATAACCAACATCTCAGTATGTTTCCAATTACGGCACTGTGATCTTTTCATTACAAATTACAAACCCTTGAGCAAACATTTTTTTGTGGAATAAAAAGTCAAGGTCTAATCATTTTCAAAATGAAAGTAAAAACAGCTGCTGAAGTTTAATTAGGAACATGACCTTACACCAGCGGCGGTGTGTGTGTGCGTGCGCCTGTGTGTGTTTAAGGGTAATAAGCACACCAGCGTTTACAAAAATACATGTTGCATGCGGGCTGTCTTACAAGTGTGAAACCTGCATCTCCATAAGAAAATACTTCAGCCTTCTACAAGGCAAACTTTACGCCTCAAACACAGTTGCGTCTGTTCAGAGACTTTACTGTAAAACCACAAAAATGAACTTTGTCAGATAGCTGCGCTATTTCCTTCCATAAAGGCAGTAGCTGGATTCAAAAATAAGCATTGCTCTGGGATTTTAGCACATCGTGAAACTAAAAACAGCATTTTAAATCATGACATAAGGAGGGAAGCTGATCGTAGCCCACCTAAGGACCATGCACTAGGCAAGTCGAGGAAATGACAACTTCTTGAATTAGCGGCTTTGTCAGATTGGATGAAATAACTGTACCTTTGTATGGAGAAACCTTATTTTCGTCTTTAGCTCTGCAAGACAGCTCCAGGAAATCCTCAATCAGGTCCAGAGAGATGAGAGACTGACTGAACACCAACCTGAGGACCGATGAAGAAACACCAGAGTCAATTCACTGCATCTAACACTGCAAACCAGGGGTGTCAAGCTCAATTTTATCTCGGGCCACATTACCATCATGGTTGCACTCAAAGGGCCAGTTTTATGTATAAGACTATATGAAAAAAAATACATACCGTCATTTTCGGACTATAAGGCGCACCTGAATATAAGCCGCAGCAGCTAAATTGAATGATGTGTACATATATAAGCCGCACTGGACTATAAGCCGCAGGTGTTTTAATGTTTAATTACCATATGTAAGGGTTCGTGCACAGAGGGGATTGTCGGGAAAGAGATGGCTGTTTGAGGAAGCTCCCATTTATTAACATTTCAACAAACAAGTTGCATATTTGCATAACGTATTCAAGTGTTAGCATTTAGTGCAATAGTAGCTACAGAACATGTACTGTGTTGTGTAAACTGTACTGTATCACATAGCGTTTCAGACACACAAACTTTTCAACTTTCAAACTTAAACGGTGCGCTCCCCGCGCACGTACCGGCAGTGATCTACAGCAGCGGTTTTCAACCAGTGGTACGGGGACAAACTGTCTCTTTCTCGTAATGTCTGTCTGTCTTGCTCTCGTTCTGTCTCTCGTACCACTCTCGGTTCCACTTTTACTTTTGCGCGCTACCTGTCTCACTCTTTTCCGGCCTCCAGCTTTTCCTGCTGGAGCCCGCCGCTTAAAGTTGGGGGGCGCGGACCGGCCATAGAGCCCATAGAGTTAAAGGTGGTGGCCGTTAGCTGTAAAAATCCATAGATTAGCCGCACCGTTATATAAGCCGCAGCGTCGAAAAATCGGAAAAAGGCGCGGCCTATAGTCCGAAAATTACGGTATATAAATATGTAACATATATAAAATAATGTATTATATTACATTATTGCCTCTGCATTGGATTATTATCGGATAGGGTAATAACTTCATAATTAACTACGTCTGAAAGCACTCTAGGGCAAATAATTGCAAGTCTCTTCAGTGAGAATGTCACAAAATGATTTAAAACAAAAAGCCAAATTCTGGAAAAAAACAAAAATAAATTACATTTTGATATATATGCATATGAAATGAAGTCACGGGCCTGATTTGGCCCCCGGGCCTTGAGTTTGACACCCCTGCTGCAAACCAACTGCAGAAAAGAAGAGGCCAAAAAGATTCTATGTGCACATTAGAGTAACTTCAAACACTTACACTTTCTCGTCAACTTCCTCTGCCATGCGCAGGATCTCAAAGAGTAGCGTCAGCTTTCCAGAGTGCTCCAGGATCTCAGCGTCAGCCTCAGTGACAAACTCCTTGTGCCAGTCAGGAGAGCTGGCGTGCCGAGCTGCTCGTCATACACAAAGTAAGAGATTCATCTTAATGCTGTTGGTACAGTCTCACAACAACCAGTAGCAGCAAAGACATCAAGCTCACAATACAGAGCGTCACCACACGATTTGCCTCTGCTACGCTACAGCTGCAGTATGTGTGGATGTTATTTAAAAAGCACCAATGTCATCAATTGGTTTCAGTAAAGTTCCCAATGCTTGTCAGCTTTACAGTTGATTCGATTACCTTAAATCAGCCAGAACAAAAACTCAATAGACTGTTTCAAATTCAATTCAAAATGTATTGACATCATAATAAACTAAGAACAAAAGCTGAGCTTTTAATAATTAGGCTGGCTTATACAGAGCTAATATTCTTCATAATTAAACATGGAAATAACTGTTAGAAGGCATCATTTGTTTTTCATTTACGAGTGAGAAAAAACATTCCCTTTATTCACACACCTCACTTGCACATCCGACTACCCACAATGCACTCAAATGTTCAACAAACTTACGTTCTTCTACAGGTTCTGGTCGGACTCGACCCTCTCCGTTCTTGCCCCTGGTGCTGGTGTTCCACTCCTTGATGACCTCCACCTCGTCACTGTCCGAGTCCTCAGAGCCTTTCTTCTTTCCCTTGCCTCGCTTCTTTTTCCTATGAGGAAGGAGGAATGGGTGCAGGAGAGCAGGACCGTTAAATAAGGGTCATCTCCATGTGATTATTCAACAAGGGGAAATGGAAGTGAATTCATGTTTTTACTTTTTTGCCTTTTCATCCTCAGAGGTCATACTCATGGAGGACTCTTCTTCCGTCTCAGAAGCGATGAACTCCTCCATACTGTCCTCGTCAAAGAAACCCTGAAAGAGGGATGGCATACCAAAGTTTGATTGTGGGTAACATAAATGATGCATAAGGACAATATGCATGTTGTTCTCCTCAGGTGCATGACCTGTGAGCACTACATTGGTATTGTTTTCCCACAGTGTGTGAATTCCAGTTTCGTATTGCCGTGTAGTGTGGTTGAGTCTGGTCTTCCAGCCCTACCCTGTTTTCTTTACTGATGTAGTCCAGCTGAAGGCACCAGGGATGGGTCCAGATTCTGCTGAGCATCTGGAAATCACTGAAGAGTTTGGTCCCGGCGCGGCCCCGGCCCCCCTCCACAGCATTCCCCACACCTGCACACAAGGGAAAGAGTGTGAGGAGGCAGATGGATGTGCGTTTGCATTATGAACTGGACAGCATGCCATCAATCTCTTCATACATACGGATGTGGAGAATGTAGTGTAACGTTTGTGTGTTCACCTAACCACCCGTCTATGGAGTCCACACTTCCTACATCTTCAAAGAGTAATGTTCAAGTACCGGAGCCAAAAATATCCAGCCTTTCTCATCAAATTGAAATTGTAAAAAATAAAGCTTATCCCTTAATAACCACAGTAATCAGTTTCTATTGCCAATGTGTTTTTTTAAAAACTTCCCAATAACTGATACTTTTATCATGGATATTTAACGCTTAGCTAGCTCTGTGTATGGTGTGAGAAGCCAGGAGACAAAACAAACAAACTTGACGACGAGATAGTTTCATTTCAAGTATCAAAAGATTTCTGGTTTACATAAGAGAGTTCGTAGATGATAATGTGTTGAAAATAAATCATTTTCATGATGTATATCAAATGCAACCATATACATTTATTATTTAAGCATTTCCCAAATGTTCAAGAGGTCTCAAAACAAATGAAACAGAAACAAGTGAATCTATAAATAAAACGCGTCTAGTCCGATCTGTTCGATCAGCAGATTTATGATCCTAGTGGCAGCTGCTGAAAGGTTCATGTTGTAACTGCCTTCATCGACCCCGAGAGGTCAGAGGTTACAGTAGATTTGACATAAGCAACGGTAAAAGGAAGGAACATTGGTGCCCCCCCTGGTTGACCAACTGGTGGTCTTGGGTCCTAAAACATCACTGTGGAGGTCCAGAGCCACAACTCCTGCCCTGTGGACAACCTGGCCTAATGAGCCACAGCACATACCACCACCCCCCATCACTCCTCTTCTCACATACCGGCTCTCCTGTTCTTTGTTTTTCGCTTTTGGTGTAAAACCTCTGCCGCCCGCCCCCCCCTCCCTCTAAAATTCTTTTCCCTTTCCTTTATGCCCCCACATTCCCCCCTTTTACCCCCCACCCTCTGTTCCCTCTCTCCCAGAGCTCTTCATTAGGGAGACGTGGGAAACTGGGCTTAAACCCTGCCCGTGGCACTCTGCCAGCTGCCACTCTTACACACACACACATTCACTCACTCACACACACACACACACACGTCCTGGCAACATTCTGAGAGGAAAGTCCACTAAACGACTTAACAATGCAGCACGAAAAAGTGGAAGACCAGAAAGACCTTTCATTTATCTAAAACCCTCATCTGAGAAAAAGACATCCATGCAAGAGAGCCCTTTAAAGAGCAACACGACTCCTGCAGAAGGATTTAGCCTAGTCCAGCTGGATATTTTACTTTAGTAACACTTGATTTATGAGTGTACAAATATTCAGTTAGAAACCAAATTAATTCAAAATGTACTCAAGTTAAATGTTATAAAAGTATTAGCATCAATATGTACTTTAAGTATAAAATGTCCTATTTCGGGAAAATGATATAGTATTTTATGGAATTATACTTCCAGCATGGCAGAGTTCCAACTGGCAGAGTTGACTGATTGGTCAGTTTGTAGATCTCACAAAAGGATAAATAAGCTCAGATACATCGAACAGGGTCAAAATATTTGCCTCCAAACTGTAATGGAGTAGGAAACAATCAAGTAGAACAAAATGGAAATTAAAACAAGAACCTCAAAATGTGTAACTAAGCCCAGCATTTCAGTGAAAAGTACTAAGTTAATTTCCCTTGTGTTTCTCACCTGTGAAGTTCTCCAGGTAGTATCTGTAGAGTTTACACTGGATCGGAGTCACTCGGACTGACAACACATACTCGTGTTTGGGTGGGAGGAACTTGGTGAGTGCCGTGTAATCTTTCCTCTGTGGGAAGCAAAGGTTCAGAAGGATTTCTTATGAAGCAAAGAGAACGAGAGCAAATTGTTCTAGCCAGTTGTTGTTACCTGGACACAGCCGTTCAGCATCTCATAGAGGATGTGAGCCCTCTTCTTCATGATCCGGACATCTTGTAGTGTGGAGTCGGCACACTGACCGTTCTGGATGGGGTTGATGAAGCGGTTCCTGAACTCTTTCACTGAACCAAGCAGGTTCTCCTTGATGAAGTTCACCATGCAGTGGTCTGGTAAGGACACAAAGATCATACGTTTCACATCCAAAAATCTCACAAAATCCTTTGATCGACGTGCTCCACTCAAACCGGAAGTCTCACATTCAACGAGGTTGTTCTGCAGAGGCGTTCCCGTCAGCACCACCCTCCTTCTCGTCCGGATGGAGTTCATCGCTTTGGACACAGCAGACGCCTCATTCTTCAGGATGTGACCTTCATCACAGATCACTAGGTCTGGACCTGGGGAAAGCACAAGGGAAATGTCATTCAAAAGGTGGAAGTACATCTGGAGCAGTTCGATCATTGCTTATGATGAACGAGTAACAACGTAGTGACTCCCTTTACACTCTTTAGACTTGTAACGTTATTGTTAACAAGGCTATTAAAGGTTTCAGAGCTGCTTTCTTTCATTATTGTTGTTGTTTCATAATCTTCTCAACCTCTGCTGGTTTCTTCAATACAAGCTATCCAAAATGAGGGAACATTTATATCAAAGTATATTTGCAGAGTCAGCATTAGAACATTTATACTCAAAATACTAATAGATACTCCACTCAAACCATGATTCTACATCTTTCCATGTAGTGGCAAAGTCAGAGAACTTAACAATACAACAAAATGGATAGGTTTATTGGCTTTAACAAAGGGAATGATAATTGGGTAAAGGTCTACAGGTGTTCTGGGACGAGAAGCCTGCCTGATGAAGGTTTAAAGGGAAGGGCATGTGACTCGCTCTCAGAGTGAGTAGTAACATTCCTTTGCAAACTGTATAACGTGGATATAAGCAATACAGAATATCCCTTATGTTCACTGCTGTGTTGGTATTTAAACGCTTTTTCTCTTCTGAAATAAAAAGGTGACACGTCATTTGTGACCTTTGAAGAAACCGAAAGCTGACAATCATTCGACATCTTGGCAAAATAGTTTTCAAATATGCACCATAGACACTGAACCAGTATATATACACGATTGAGCTGCGACAGAGAATGAAGGTGATGAACCCGTTACATAATACATTTAAGAAATCCACATCTGAGCCTTTCTTAGCTGTGAACAAAAACGATGGAATTCCTTTCCCTGAGGCGATAAGAGATGCAAGCTCTGTGAACATTTTTTGCTTTTTTAATCTGCATTGCCTTTTACTAGCCGTCGCTCTTCCTTTGTTTTATACTCGTCTTTTACAAGTGTTATTGTTGTTATGCCTTCTTTTGTTTTATTGCCTGGTTTTACAGCAGCACATGTTTAAATCTGTCTTCTTTTTATTTGTTCGCTTGTTTCTTGACTTTCTTGCAAGGTACTTTGAACTACTCCCCCCTGTATGAAACAGGCTATATAAACCAAGTTTATCACCATTATTTAATGATCAATTTAGCTTCAATGCCAAAATCTTAGGTCAATCCTAACGTGGCCAATTTCTGATCAGTCTCACATTGTTTTCTTGTCCATGTGTCAGCTGTCATTTCTTAGACAAAAGGGGCAAATGGTAGGGAAGATAAAAACATGTTCACTCCATCACAGCACTGTACCTGGGTCTACCAGAGTCTTCTGAAAGGTCTCTTTGAGCTTCTTGCTCTTGATGTTCCTGCCCTGCGTCAGGTTTCGATACATTTCATATCCAATGATCATAACGCCACCCATATCCTGCCATCGCTGAAGGGCGTATGCTCGGTCCTGTGGCCTCTTCACTGTGGCCAGCTCAATCACCTGGTTAACAAAACAGAGCCATTGATCAACAAAAGAAGCCCCACATCAGGGGGTGTTGAATGCACATGCAAAGAAGTCAAATTGGAACTACTAGAAAGGTTAAAAACAAAGCAACTACTTACCTCTAAACTCTCTTCATCCTTCATTCCCACTTGCCACTTCTCAAACTCATTGAGCCAATTTAGGACAGTGTTCAGGGGAGCAACCACCAGGGCTGTGGAGAAATCGAGCTTCTCACACAGCAGCAAAGTGTGAAGTAATGTCACCACCTACAGGGCAAAACGATAACTACAGTTAAACAGGCTTATAGTGGCAGTTTACATATCACACACATATTTGCACTATTACAGGATTTTGACCGCTAAAAAGTTAATAGGCTTCAATTCTCAGTTTGTTCAAGACTGTGGGAACCTGAAAGTAAAACCAGTGACCCCGACCCAAAAGGCTCTAAATCAGTACTTTCAAATCATTGTGTATCAAGTGCTTTAATCCAATGGAGAACATTCAGATGTTTTGCAGTTCAGATAATTAATGTTTGTGCTTTTCCATAAACAGATTTATATTTAGCTTCTTTTTTTATTTTTTTTTAAATACAGGTTTGGTGTATTTTACGCCCCGGACGGGCATGCTGCTCTCTTCTCCATACCTGCAGAGTTTTCCCCAGACCCATACAGTGGGCTAGGATGCAGCCGGAGCCAGAAGACTTCTCGATCTTCTTCACAGATTCACAGCAACAGTCCCACATGAACTGCACCCCTGAAACAAAACACAAAAACAATGGGGCCGACATTAATCCACAGAATCTCTGTTTCTTATGCAGGCTTCGGTTGGCTTATATTCAGCCATGTTGATTGTGTGTGTCTGAATAAACATCATTCTTACCGTCAACCTGATGAGGTTTGAGTTTTGTGACAAGGTGCCTGTGCACCTGCACAATCGGCTCCTTGGTCTCCTCATCCTCATCCAGCACCAGCTTGGTGGTGATGGGACAGGCCATCAGGGAAGACTCCTCCGCCACAATCACCTGAAAAAAGGATTGTATATACAGGGGAAGAAATGTCTATTAAATATTACCTCAAAAAAAGTCTATCCACGGATCAAGTTAACATCCGCTATTTATCCAAGTGCATAATGCATAACATAGATCTCCTAACGAACACAAATAGAGACTTGGTATTGAACTGATTCATTTTCAATTGAATTAAAGTAAATTATAAATTCAAAGCAAAACTACCAGAGCCTAATGCTGGTCTTTTAAGTGACTGTGCAACCAAGCTAGTACCATAACAGCACTACAAGCATCACCATCACTGGGTCAAAATCTTAGTTTTCACTTCCAAAAGAATTGTGCGTAATGTAAAAATTGATTCAAAAACAAACTTTGGAAATGTCCTGCTGAATCTGCGGGGGAAGCACCTGCAGATGAAGGACAAGAATTCAAAATGTTTGCAGATGGTTGAGTAAAGACCCCTTTCCTTCACCCTCCTCCTGACCTCAGACCAGGTGAGGGAGGTGTGTTTGGAGCCAGCAGTGATGTAAGCACACCTACTTTTTAGGAGGCCCAATCCAATGTGAATGATCCAGCTATCAAATGAACCGTTTCACGGGTAAATGCATCACAGTACAGAAGCATAAGACGTCCCAGCTTTCATTTAATAGCCACTTAAAGCAAACTGTGGACTATCAAACAGTTTGATCAAACAGAAGGAGAGCGATCAGCAGCAGTGCTATCCACTTTGTATCCATCATTTACATTAATATCTTCACGACAGTGCTGCTCAGCAAGCTTACCTCCAATAACTGGGGAAAATCCACTAATTGTATCTAAGAACCTTTACAGGTATTAAATGAGGAGGTCCTGAACATTTTACCCAGCGTGAACTCTTTTTATCAGGAGACTTTAGTCCAAACAGTTCATTTTTACCTCTCGAAGTTTCTCCCTGAGTGCTTCTCTCTCAGCTATACGCTTCCTCCTATCCTCCTCTTCTTTCAGAGCATCTCTCGTCTCTGACCGCAGTTTGTCATTCTTCAGGATTTTGCGGAGCTTTTTGCGTCCTTTGCGGTCTTCGGCGTCTTCATCTCCACTCTGTGAAAATTAAAGCATTAAAGTTCAGCCCTCTGATCTTCAGCCCTCAGGGAAAGAATTGCACTTCCTATGATCAGAAGCAGAGCCAGCCTACGAGTAATGTGTGCCCTCAATAATCCTCACAACACACTCCAGGGGGAAGTTCAAATAACATTTTATGTGTCGTGCATGACTTGAATCGTAAACGTTATGTGGGTCCACCGTCTCCACTTGGCAAACCTGCCTTGCAAGAAAGAAACTTTTGGACAGTTCAAGAAAAACTTTCAAGTGCTCTGCACCTTCTCATTGCTGGAAGAGGATTCCTGAACTTTGATCCTGCGTCGCTTCTTCTTCTGCTGCTTGTAACTTCTCTGTTTCGCCTCCTCCTTCTTCTTTGAAGATCTACAGACACAAAACAGAATCAATGTAAGCAAGAGCAGCAGGAGATTAATCCAGATCTAGTGGCAGAGATAAATAACTAGCGATTGATTGTGTCCATCACTTCCCACCTGGTCTTTCTGCGTTTTCCTTCATTCTCCGATTCACTAAGCTCCTCGCTTATCCCCGACTGTTGACTTGACTCTGAGTCCTCAAAGTCCGAGTCTGAAGAGTCATCGCTGCTCACTGACACACAGAAACAAAAGGCCGGTATCGGAGTTAAGAACATCTGCACTCTTTTTATGAAACAGGACAAATAGGGAAAGTAAAAAATTCTGAATCAACCTTTCTCCTTGTTCTTTTTGCCCTTTTTCTTCTCTTTACTGCCATCTTTCTCCTCTCCTGATTCTCCCTCACTCAGCGAGAGTTTGTGACGAAGCAATTTGTGTCGTCCACCACGCTTCTTCACTTCAATATCAGAATCCTCAGAGTCGCCTGTGTCCTCGTCTGAAAAGAGAGAGCAGATTGTTTAGGACTATACACACTGAAATGTTGTTTTACTAGGCTTAAGTAGCTAGTTTACGCTACCTTCCTGCTCTTCTTCATCATCATCATCATCATCCTCTTTTTTAGCTTTCTTCGAGGACTTTGCTTCCTTATCGTCTTCATCATCAGAGGAGCTCTCCGCTCCAGAAGAATAGTTTGACTTTATTTGGGCAAGAAGCATTTTCTTTGCAATCCTTCAAGAGAAATGGGAAGGAGATTCACGTTAATTACATAATAAATAAGGGATTATACAGAATTATCTGGATGATGAGCACAATACAGGGTCGTAATATCAAGTTCCCCTTGGAGCATGTTCATGTTTTAAAAAGGTTATCTGACGGAAACATCTGCAGCCTATAAATAGGACATTACAACATTATGGGATAAAACTACGCACAATTACAGATTGACAGACATAAACCAGAGAGAAAAGCTGCCCTGAACACATGTTGTAAAGCAGCGTTTCCGCCAGACCAGGGCTGAGAGGGCGTCCACCCCGAGCGCGGGGGGGGGGGGGGGGGGTTTGTGACGTCACGTCGTGTCACTTGACTTGAATTTTGAATTGAGTCGTCCCTTCATAGATACTATCTCTTTACGTGATGGGAGTTCCAGCTCTTTTTAGTGAGGCGGATAATTTCTCCAACAGCACCCCCCGTCAAGGCTCGCCGGCAGTACACTTTCTGTCACAGGAACACGCTTTGCGGCGAAAAGAATCCCACCAGACTCCTTTGCCCCTCCAACACAGGGACGTCCTTGTCCTTTTCAAGCTATAAAAACTCTCGATCTTCTCTTGAATTATTTATTTTTTTGGACGCCCTCGGCTCGAGTTCAGGGCGTAAAATGATGGCAAGACGCCCCCTTGGCGGAAACGCTGCTGTAAAGTATTTAAAATGAAAACAAAACACTTCAGAGAACAAGGCTGTGAGATTTTGAACAATAGCCACTTTCACACCAAGTACTTTGCCGTACTTAGTTCCCAGCACTCAGTACCCCCATGGAACTAAAGAGCAGATCGCGTTCACACCAGAATAAGTTCCTTGAGGGAAGATTACGCAAATGAAGCCGCTGACGTCACTTCTTCTTCCTCTGCTTTGGGTTTACTGGCAGGCCGCAAACCACTTCACGGCGTATACTGCCGCCCAAAATCCCNCCGGGGCAAGTTGAGCCACAAGACCACTTTTTTTTTAGAAGTAATATTTTCACTGCCCTTGATCAAATATGAATTCTTATCATTGCCATTGATAGGAGACATCCTGAATTATAGGTGTGTGTTTTCATTTTTACTATGTGTCATTTCTCCTTGCTTAGAGGACAGCATAACTACAAAATGGCTCAACTTACCCCACTCTCCCCTACTGCATGTTCGGCCAGAGTAAGGAATGGATGCCTTTTCTTTCTTTTTGGGTGCCATATTAATCTGCAAAAAAATTCGAGGTTATCTTTTTTTGTAAATCTAGAATAGAAAAAAAGCAAAACCCTTCCAACAAAAACGTTTATAGCATTATCCACTTCATGTGTATGTTATGGTCCTTCAGTACAAGACACAGTCCCCTGGCTCTCAGTTCACAGACAGGCAGTCCAGGGTCAATGCAGAATGTAGTGGATCTATACTGGACACAAATAGCAGACAGAGATACATCATTGATCAGCCAGCGGCTCCCTGCACCAAATCCACTGACTGGACTGGAATGCATATAGGGACATTTGTATGAGATTATGATATCTGGCCTTGATATGTACGGAATCTGAGTGAGGCATTCTGGGAGGAGAGGGGGGAAAAAAATGGGGAGACTGAATGTCCATCTGCCAGCCGACAGTAATCGCACCACTCTCATTCCTGGGTGGGGGGGAGCTCCGGAGTCGCAGCTGTTGGAGGGTGAATTTGGGATAAAAGAAAGTAGAAATTACAGTTGAAAGAAGCAATTTCACTAAACCGGTGTATGTGTAATTAGTGGCTTACATTTACCCGACCATTTCCCATTTCAGTAAAGGATCCGTAAAATAATTTTGGAGAATTCAAATCAAACAAAGGAATTTTTTTGCCAATACTGGTCACTTTAATTTTCAGTAAATGCAATAAAGTAATTTGAATAAACTGTCTTTACAGAATAATACCATAACAATATAACATGATTACACTTAATATCTTGGTTTCATAAAAGCACAGTAAAAGAAGCTTTATTTTGACTGGTTAATAATTATCCAATACATCTGTAGCCTATATCTCATTATGATTCTGCCCTTTAATGCAGAGAACGCAGTACCCACACATTTGGTCAAAAATGTATTTACCATATAAAAGTGTTTTACCATATAAAATATTGTTATGCCATTGTCTCATTTCAGAGAAAACATCATGGTTAGCACAATTACAAAATAGAGCTTACATTTAAGCTAGCTGTTGAGATAACCACAGTTAAAGCCTATGATACATTAACTCTTTCATACGTTCCTGTTTCCTTGTATAAAAAACGTATCTAGTGTATCATTCCATATAAATGAGGCAGAAGCTAAATCCACCTAATCTGAAACAAAGAAAGTAATCTAGCTAGCACTAGTTCACAGGAGAGAACTTTGTGAAAACTGAGATAAAATCACCTTTTAAGTTGACAGCTGTTGTTAGCAAACAGTTGCATACTACACACCTAGCAGATAAAGAGTAACATAATTAATCATTTAGAGCTTCTTTTTAACCAACAATATAATACCAAATCTGTTGGTCTTTACCTACTCTGGAGGTAAATGTCTGTTTCATTAGCCGCTACAAGCTATATTATGTTCACCAGCTAGCTGCTAACTGTCTGTCCGCTGTGTGTTGAGTAAATTGTGTGCCTTCATTTAAAACAAATGTTTTAGCTGTTAACAACTGCCTGCTTGCTGAACAGTTTGGCTAACCAGCTTTAAAACTTAAAATCTTTTTTTTATATATATATATANTGGCTTCAGTAGAAGCTGCTGGGACTCCCAGCAGCTTCTACTGAAGCCTTCCGAGTAAATCGCCAGAACCCCGACACCCCCTCATCACTCCACCGCTCCCATGTTTTCTTTTGTGTTGCCATAAGTTAGTCACTCTCCGTTGCTAATAATGCTAATGCCAGCAAATACAATGATTTGGCGTGGTTTGCAATCCTCCCAGCCAATCAGAAATGTGTACTTTTTTCTCCCCAGGAAAGTACCACCTCTCTAGCAGGCACTAAAAAGGGGGTAACAGTTCTCATGAACTAAGTTCTCTTTTTGGTGTGAACGCAAAATCCCAGGAACTATCGGAACTAAAAGGAAAAAGTACTCCGGTGTGAAAGCGCCTATTGTTCGAGAAGTCAAGTATTGCAAGCACATCTAATCTATTGTCGAGCATGCACTGCAGCACTAATCTTTCCAATTAACAGTTAATGACAGGTAGCAGGGAGGGCTAGCATCTTTCTTATTAGGCATCCCTAGTCCATATCGATTGTGTTTATCTTTACAACCTGTTGTTCTGCAAGTACCTGTTTTCAGGATCATCATCATCGTCATCTTCGAAAACCTGAGAGACCTTCTCTTTATCGTCATCTTCGTCACCTACAAAACAACAAGGGCACAAACCGTGTTAATGGAAGAAAGCTTAGGTCGTTGATGGAATCATTTGACATGTTGCAATATTTGCTTTGTCTATACATTGGCTTTCTTGCAAAGAATGCCTTGCAAGTCTCTATGAAGTTACTTTATACTCTCTGGTTTTCAAGCAGCTTCCAAAATCTAGAAGACGTGTTCATCAGTGAGCTTTAGAGTTGTTGGTAAGCCGATTGTTGCTTGGAAAAAGCATGGCTAGCTTGATGCTAAACTAGGCTTCAGCTACATATTTACTTTTATGTAAAGACATGAGTGGTATTATTTTTAAATCAAACGCGCGGAGTAAAAGCGAAAAAGAGCAGTTGACCTATAACTTGAACCCTGAACACTCTTTCAGACTAAATTACCCGAGGATTGTTGGAAAGCTCCACTGCCTCCCACCACGTTGTCCTCCACAATGGGTTTGATCTTCTGTGCGTCACTGTCATCTCCGGAGTCTCCATCAGCCTTCTCCTCCTCATCATCATCTTCACTGGACGACGACTGAAGCTTGGCGGATGCTTTTGGGCTCCCTGCCTTGCGCTTCTTTTCGTAAGACCTCTTCAGCTTAGTTGCTTTTTTCTCTGTTGATCCTTTTCCTTCTTTTGCTTCGTCTTGTTTCTTCACACGGCTAGATCTCCTCTTCCCTAAGGCCACTTTACTCTTCGTCTCCTTCTCTTTTTCAGAATCAGAGTCGGCGTTATCCGAGCCTTTTTGTTTCTTCTTCTTCTTGGACGTCTTTTTACTTTTGTTTCCAGAGTCTGAATCGGAGCTTGCAGATTTTCTTTTGCGTTTGGATGCTTTGTCTGTGTCTTCTGTAGATGTGTTGTTTAGTTTGAATAAACACTTTTTAGCACTTGTGCTTCCCTGTTCCTCATCAGTGCTGCGGCCAGCTGCTGCTTTCTCCAACAGTATGTTTGGAACTTCGTCTGAGTCAGAATCCACTGGACTTTTCTCTGAATCCTTGGTCTCCTCCCCATCCTCTTTCTTGGTGTGTCTTGATGTCTTGGAGGACTTGCTTTTGCCCTTACGATCTTCCTCCAACTCTGAATCAGAGGACTCTTCCTTACCCCTTTTCTCAGTCTGCTTCCTCAATGGAGTGGTCTTCAACCTACTGGAGCGACGGCTTGGTGGTGGGCTTTCTGTCCCGTCTACAGCATTAGGGGCATCGCCTTTCTCCTTGTCACTTTCTTTTTTGGATTTTTTTTGCAGCTGTCCATCCTTTTCTTTGTTTTTGGACCAGGAGGGCGTGGACCCACGTGTCGTCACGACAGGCACAGGGGTCAGTTTGACTATGAGGTTCTTCACCTTGGGTTGGGAGGATTTATTTGTTGAGTTCTTATTTAACTTTGTATCAGCGTCTGTGACCATATCAGTGCCGGTCTGGGATAGCATGGTAGAATCCGCAAGACTCTCCACCATCTGAAAAAGCTCCTCAGGAACAGATGGAGGTACAGACATGATGTCATGATCGAGGGACATTTCACCTGCTGTCACCAGCCCTTCATCACATACTTCAGTTTTAATTTTCTTTTTGGTGAGATCAGTTTCTGTTTGACTGTCTTTAAGTTCAGTCTCAGTTGACACTTGATCCATGTCCATGGCTTTCTCATTATGCTGCTTCAGGTCGGCTTCTTCTGCGGCTACGTCAGCCTCTTCCTCATCCGCAACGCCAGGGTCATCTGCTTCGTCAGATTCATCTGCCAAGTCAGCATCCATCGCGACGTCAGCTTCCTCTGCAGCTACGTTAGCTTCCACTGCAGCTACGTTAGCATCCTCCGCTACGTTATCATCCTCCGCTACGTTATCATCCTCCGCTTCTACATCAGCGTCCTCAGCTATGTCAGCGGTCTCCGCTACTTCAGCATCCTGCGTTGCCTCTGCCTCTACGTCAGCATCCTCCGCTACGTTATCATCCTCCGCCTCTACATCAGCGTCCTCAGCTAGGTCAGCGTCCTCAGCTATGTCAGCGGTCTCCGCTACTTCAGCATCCTCCGTTGCTTCTGCCTCTACGTCAGCATCCTCCATTACGTCAGCACCCTCTGTTGGGTCTGCCACATTATCCACATGGTTGTTTTCTACAGAAGCAGTGACTTTAGAGTGCTCTCTTTCAATAAGCTGCCCTTCGTTACCATTCTGCAACTCCATGTTTTTTAACTCAGGCCCCAAAGCCTCCTCCAAAGCACTGTGAGCTTTTTTTAAATCAGCAAGCACGGCCTTGAAGGCTTTCAAATGCCGGTATCTGATAGACTTATCTTCCTGCTCGTTGGCTGCCTGCTGGATGAACTGGATGAACGTATTGTTCAGACCTGTTGTAGTCTCAACAAGCTTTTTTGTTTTCTTTAAAAGTTCTTTGGGTACCTGCAGTTTTTTGTAGGAGAAAGTCATGGACCCTGAGCCTTCGCTGTGTTCTTTCCCATTGACAACCGGCTTGTGCTCCTTGACTTCTTTATTCTTGTGTCTCTTTTTCTCACGTTCCTCGCTTTTGTCTGGTTTACGTTGCTTGGATTGAAGTTCTTGTTTTTCAAGGACACTGTGGCATTTGGAGACCAAATCCTGGAGGGGCTCTGACCTGCAGACATAGCAGTGCCACTTTGAGTTCTCATCAGTAATGACAGACAGCTCCTTCCTGCCCAGGTTGCGCAGGATGCACTTCTTGCAGAAAGCGTTGTTGCAGTAATCACAGCAGATGAGCTTGCCACCTTCAGCACACCACCTGGGGAGAAACAATTCAACACGTTTTAGGGCAGAAAGCACACAAGGTCTTTACTCACTTAATGTTAACAAAATTGTTAAAAAAATAAATGTTTTAAAGTCTCAAACTGATATACATTTTAAAACACAAGAATGAAAGCCTACAATGTTAAACTTAATATCCAATTACTTCTATTGTGCACCTTCTTGTTACTTTAGTAACAGATAAATCATGATGTTTTGTTGGTTCTGTGTTAAATGCCTTACCTGCACTGCTCATCCATCCCATCGGAGTCTCTGTTAATGTCATCACTGGTGTAATAATTGTAGCATGACTTGAGGAAAAATAAATAAATCATACATTAAGAATGGAAAGACTGAACAATATCAGTGAAGAATGTCGTTATAATGCTCACTACAAAAATAATCTGAAATGTATATATTTACCTTGCAAATTAGTACTTTGAGCGCGGGATGCTCGTACACCGCGTTACGCTGCAACTGCATTACTTGTTTTCCACAGGCAGTGCAGTTTATCTTCTTCTGCAACGTATCATCTGTGATAAAGAAAGGAAATAAAGCCGTTTTAGTCACTTTTTTTTACTGATGCAACCAACAATTATCTTTATTTTATTTGTGTATTACTTTAAGGATGTGCAGTTTGTGTACATTAAAATCCTATGCATGTTCTCTCAGAACAACAAACACTAATCATGAGATTAAGTCACCTGTTGGTTTCTGTTTAAAATCCACTCTCAGCTTCATGGCGCCTTTATTTTCATTCCCAGATGGTCTCATCACTAAAGTGCCTAATCAGGCAAAAGCAAGAGAATCTCAAATTAGCCTCCTATTCAGCATCAACAATATCTTGATCAAAACCATCAAACACCTCCATAGTTCACCTTTAGAAGCGCTGCTTGTGTTATTGTCTGAAGGATTGTCAGAAGTTGCACCTTCATTTTCACTCTCAGCTGACGAGTCGGATACTTTTGCTCCAGTGTTCTTAGCCACAGAAGTGGGCTTCCTAAAATAAGTAAGAAGTCAGCTTTAATATTTTATGATCTCTTTTGAAAAAACACAAAAAAACAGCCACATTTAACAATAACTGCTACTCACCTCCTGTTGCGAGAAGAGGAAGGCTTCATAGTTTCTGTTGAGCTACCAGGCTGATGACAATACAGGATTTATGTTAATAGCTTGACAACATGACGGAGAAAAAAAACGTGATATATTTGCCTTTACTGATTAGTTTCTTTTTTCAGTTAAGTAAACATAAGGGGGCCAAACACATCGTTTTGCAAGAAACTGCATACTGACCTCCTCTGCTTTTTCTGACATTTGGTCTTGATGTGATTCAGAAGATGCCAGACTCATTTTACCTGGAGGGACATTTTAACACATTTAGTTTCTCAAAGAACAAACTGATGCTGTACCATATTAGTTTTAAAGTACAGAAATGTTAGTTGGTATATACATATGGATCACTTTTTTTTTTCCAACAGAGGTGGTCAATGTAAACAACAAATGACAGAAAAAAAGCAGGCTGTGTTTTGACTATCAAGGTTGTCAGTACTTTATATAACAAATCCACTGTTTCTGTATGTTTCAACAGTTTGTGTATTATATTAATTTTGAAGGCAGCTGAACTTTAAAATGTGTTCAGATTTATTTATTTTCTTCAGGCTGCCTGGTACAAGAGTCAAAGCTAAATTATTGAACTGATGGACAAATACCGGTTTAGCACAGATTGTAAAAGTAAACAAAGCTCAGATTTAAATGTAAAGGATCATGAAAATTAAACAGATTAAGATTACATTTATACAAATGAATCCATCATTTGTCACACATTTCTTTCTTTCTTAAATCAAAAACAATTTCATATTTCCATTACAAAACGATTGCATGGCTAAGTGAACATTGCTATTATGCATGTAATTTGTTCAAGAAAGATTGGTACAATTATAGATAGTATTATCCTCGGGTTGTGAGACCAGGTGCACCTCTTTTTTCAGACAGTTATGGGCAAATTCAAAGATTGTAGACACTGTTTTGTTTGTGGTCAATCTACAGGGAATACAACCACTCAAATGCAATGATTACAGTTATCAAGCATTTAAACATTAACGCCTGCAGCAGTTTTGTGATTTAACATTCATAAAATGTAAATCTGCGCGTTACCTACACGATTGTGAGTGCGTGTATTTTTGGAGACAGAGGCTGTTATTGTTCCGTTTTGCGTCATCATAATGTGCTGATTAGATCACAGTGAGCTGAGCTATCACTCCGTGCTGCCAGCAGCATACAGGCCTAAAATGTATCCAAAATCCCGTGTCAGTCCTAGAAAAGGAGCCCACTCGCCTTTCAAGCAGCGCACACTCCTGAAGTGTAGCCCTGAGCTGCCTCTTTATCCTCAGAGCAGTCTTTGCATGTTTTGACAACACAGGAACTCCTGCTTATCAGGGATGCCAAGTTTAAGCCAAGCTGACACTTGCAGGTCTAACAGTGGCCGTTAACGCAGAAGTCCTTATTTCCATCGCCCCACGCTGAACTAAACAACATTGCAATCTCGGCAGTGCATTAAAAAAAAGGTCCAATGCATGAAAATGCACCAGAAAAATGCAACGACCAGGCCTTCCCTACTCCTGACATACTAAGTAGCAATGTAGTTCACATTTAGCTAGCTACAAAACAAACCAAGCAATTGCATTTTTACAAACACTGGCGTTTTGCTATTTTGATTTCTTGACTAACGTTCTGTAATACTAATGCACACATCGGAATCTGCGAGTGCACGAATTTAAACATTGCCGGCTGCGTAGCTAACAGCTACTACTCAGCTAGCTTAGCAATGCTAACTAGCACTCATGGGCCGGCTCTCAGTTACAGTAACGTTAATCAATGCACAATTGACTTGTCTAAACAAACAGGCTAAACACTGTTCCTACCTGCTTTTTACCGTGGTCATTTCTTCACTCGGGGATACTCGTATAGTTGTTGGTATGAGTGGCTAGGTTCAATCCAATTCGTAGGTTTTCGATGGTGCGGAAGCGAGAATAGCCTGAGAATATAGAAACAACTCCGGTCAGGGGAGACAAAGCAAGGGGACCATCTTGCCGGATGGCTGTGGACGCGGTAAAATGGCGCATCTAGACCTAAATCCTGTGCGTTTTCCTATTGGCTGAGCGCTCTCCCGCTCTGAATGGCCCAGGTTCAGCGGAGCTCAGTGATTGGTTCAGCCCGACGAGGGAACGACTTCTCTGGGATGTAAAGTGCTGCTGGCTCTACATTCAACTCATTCATTTGCTGAAACAGTGGAAGGCGCGCTGTTTTGCTTCTCTTATCCAAGCTCTTAAACACACACTTATGTCTTTCTATATGTTACAGTTGGGCATCTTCAGTAAGGTTTCTCAAAATGATGTAGCATTATTTATTATTAAATTAAACTATATAATTATCAGATGTGGAATAGGTATTTTAAACACTTACGGAAGTAGTCTAAAGTAGGCTACCAACAACAAGAGGTTAACAGGGTTACAAGTAAAAGTCCTCTTTAAAATCCAGGTTGCTAAAGCACAGATTCAAGTATCAAGCTTGAAAGTGTCTATGACTGATAGAAGGTAACTTACTGAAGATCTGTAATTTTAAAGTAGGCCTACTCGTATTTTAGGCCACTTGAGTATGCCCCTTATCTGTTTCTTTATACTCCCCTTCTTTAGGTCCTCTGCAAATATTGAACTTCTTACTCCAATACATGTATTTCATGCCTTTGACTATCTTTCAGATACAGATTCTTTACGCACAATACATAAACACATAACGTATGGATAAAAATAAGAATTGACTCAGAACTGGCAGAAGATATAAAAAAAGAAAAGAAAAACACTTACCAGCTTTAATATTGGTGGTATAAGTAAGGTACAGATTAATGCATACTGTAGGCCTACATGAGTATAGGATATATTATACACTCTGAAATGGACCATTCTGCATATTAGTAATTTTACCTTCCTCTTTTTCTGTATATTTTTGATACTTTGTAGCAGAGTATTTCTGGTGGTATTGCTTCTTTTTTTTTTTTAAAGTAAAATATCTATTTACTCACACCACTGGTCAACAGCATTTCACTTTTGCAGGTTGACGTGGAGCTCCTTTTTCTTCTTTTCATACAATAGAGAGGTCCAGTCATTTGCAAATGTTATTAATTGGGCTTCATAATCTGGCTTTTTCTTGAGATGATTAACAGGGCAATAAAGAGGAAAAATCATGCTGTAATGTATTGATTGTATGGTATTGAATCTTGACTACTTTGATTACTGACTCTGCCCAGACTATGGCTCGGGTGCCTCTATAAATAAACTGCACTGTTGTGAAAATGTTCTTAATCTTTGACTAAATATCACCTGAAGATGGGGCTCTTCACCAAGGTTGTCAGTGTTTGTAATATCTGGCACTTTTTGGTAAGAGTATGCAAATAACTCAAGATCAGTTTAGACTTCCAATCACTTTCCTACTCTGCAATCTTGTCAATAATTAATATTCAAACTGAGCTGTCAATTTTTTTTTTGATCAGACAGTTTTTTGATCATACCAAAATATGTATAATAATACTATATGATACTATTTCAGGAATGAGATTAAATAAGGATACTTTAACCGTCAGTAATCTTTTCTGTCAGTCACATGTTCCCTTTTATGTGTCGGGTAAAGCATTCAAAAATATTTCGGTGCCCACCCACCATAGTAATTTTGTCATATCGAAACACACAAGTGTGTCTAATAATAATAATCTTATTAACAGTGGCTGCCTTCTGCCTCGCAGTTAACCCTTTTCTGTATTTTTAGACTATGATAATAAAGGTTTAAAGTGTAGTAAAATTACTTCTCATAAAAATATTACTTGACACCAGGAGAAACTTTATCTACGAGTGTCTGTAAAAGGTGGCGAACTGTAAATCTGAAACCAACGTTGTCTTGCCCGGGGTGTCCACCTCGACTACTTTATTTAAACTCCTCAACTGGAAAAAAAGTGATTTTTCACCAACCC